TATAAACTGCAATGCCTTTTCTTGCAGTTTCTTGGGATCGAGTAACATCTGACACAATTGTGAACTGTTTTGGAAAGCTGGCATCTTCGCAGAAAGCTAACAGCAAAGTTTAAATGATTCTGATGATCAATTTCAAAAGCTAGCCAGTGAAATTGAGGAGCTAAGAACGCAAAATGAGTGTTCAGTACCACCAGAAATGACAGCAACCATTTACATAAACACTGATGATGAATTGTCAACTTTCAAAGCAGGTCAACTTACAGACAAAGAAATCTAACTATCTATTATAGAGGTATCTAATTTAGATGAAGAAAGTGAAGAACAGTGTGACATGATTGAAGAAGTTCTTATACAATCTCCCACAAAGAGTGAAGTTGTTCCTGCTCTAGATGTGCTTCAAACATCTAGTCTTTTTTGTGATGAAATGGAGCCCCTTAAAACAGACAACAGTCGTTTGACAAGAAGGATGACATGCAGGAGCTATAAAAAGATTAAGGGGCTCTTCCGGAAAATGTTTCAAGATACATCAAAAGTAGAAAGTGGCTACTTTTTAGAAGGGGCAGGACCATCACTACCCTTGGTTATTAATTTTACATAGCCTGTTACTGCATAGTACCTTCTAGATCATTGATTCTCAGAACACAGTATATTCGGCTTCTTTTAATTTTCATATTTAAAGCTGCACGTATTATTAAATTTTTTGGTTATGCTGTGGCAAATACTCCAAATATGCCCCTCCCCCCAGTCCGACCATGCCCACTTTTAATTGCCCGAAAGTAGTCAATTTCTACTTTCGATACTATTTTAACGGGCTCCGCCGCAGGTTAAGTGGAGAGGACAAGATAAAATATAACAATCATAACAAAAGGTTTTATAAAAGCTCCAGTGTTTTGCAAATAAGTGAGGGGGCCATGCCCCCCTTAATAAATACAAAAGGCTGAGAACAAGGGCACTTTAGCCCCCTTGCTCCTCCTATCAAAGGGCAAGAGGGCAGTTTCCCCCTCTTCCCCCCTTTCCAGCTTCCCTGATAATGTGAATATTTCTAAAACAAAATGTGAGTTTTGTGAGATGACTTTTATTATGCTATCAATGTAAAATAAAGCGGGCAGTAGGAGCTTTGGGTTTCAAGCACTAAATAATTTTCAAAACATATGAAATGTATACCAGAATGAAACTGGAGGGGCGTTGCAGTCTCAGGCTCCTTTTCAGGAAAGCAGTGATAGACACCTGGGAGGAGGGGGTGGTTGCCCCCAATATTTTTTGAGGAAAATGGGCTTTGGGTCTAAAACAATGGAACAATTTGACATCATCTTATCAAAACAAATGGCTTGTCCCCCCAATATATGACTAAGTGTCTGCCCCTACAGGAAACTTTTTCAAGCCTGTTTTCTGCTTACAAACTTAAATAAAGGACTTTTAGGGAATTTATATAATAAATAAATTATATTTAATTTTTACATACTGGTCTAGATTGTGCAAAAGTTATTGGCAGAGCAGTCTCCTCCCTCTGAAGAAGACTCTACAGAACTTGCAATGCCCTTGTTTATAGACATTGGCTGCAATACAGACACCCAACTTCCAGTTAGTGTATCAGTGCAAACAGAAAAAACAGAGACTGTAAACAGGTATACCCAAACTGAACGGAAAAAAAAGTCTGTCCATAAAGCCATACAAACAGACAGCCAAATGCATCCTTTATGTATCCATAGAGTACCAGATCAGGCGAACGAAGGTAAAATTTGATTTGTTTCTCTCATGTCATACATTTTTATTTGTAATTATTTTTGGATTTTGAATTCTGTCAACTGTAGAGTAATTTCTGTCAAAATGTTGTCAACTGATTAGATCATTCAACATACAAGAAAAATATTCCTTGCAGACTTTCCTAAAAGCAGGTAAACAGAAAAGAGAGTATACAGGCTAAATGTAGATAAAATTTAAGGGGGGGGGGAGGTAGTAGTTCAAGTCTGAGAGCACAATAGACAGTAATTTATGCCTGAGGATAATTAAGAGATGGTGTTCCTCTTCAAAATTTTTTATCTACAGTTTCACCACAATTGAGCAGTGGTCTTGCTGAGTCCCATGAGTTTTCTGAGGTAGAATCTGAAACCAGCAGTGGATCACAAAGTGAAAACTGGGATCCTCAAGCATCATCTTTCTCATCTGCCGAGTCTGAATGTGAAAAGGAGATTCCACCTCACTTTGAAAGAAAGTTCCTGGTATTTGAGTCATGTCTCCTGCAGCTTTTCGCAATTTGCTCAGTTTGTCTTGGTCCCTGTATTGATATCTCAACCTCCTTGGTGGGCTCAATGGTACAAGTTGAAGCATCATGTCTGCAAGGTCATGTAAGAAAATGGAGAAGTCAGCCACTAATTGGTGATATGCCACTTGGAAATTTTGTCATTGCTGCAAGTACATTGTTGTCAGGGTGCTCCCCAGCAAAAATATTGCTACTTTTTCACAATATGCAAACACCAAGCTTCACAGAGAGGACTTATCATAGGATCCAAAAACTGTATTTGATTCCCTCAATTTTGGAACATTGGAAGTCTGTTCAACAGCAACTTTTGAGAAGCAGTCAGGGTATCAGAACACTGGGAGGTGATGCCAGAATGGATTCTCCAGGTCATACTGCCAAATATGGGAGCTATTCATTGATGAATCTGGAATCAAACAAAATAATCAGTGTTAATACACTACAGGTAACTATGAAATGAGACCTAAAATATTCTTACAACTTTAGGTATAACCTATAAGCAAAGTTTCAGTTTAAGTCCAAAAGAGCTTTTCCAATGATTGACTATGACCTCCCTCGACTCTAAGCATGTGATGCTTTGTCAACTGATTTCCCTTTTTATTGGTGTAGAGCAATGAAGTTGGTGGTTCATATCACATGGAGCTGGAAGGTTTAAAACGTTGCTTGGATGAAGTGAAAGCTGCAGGTATTAACTTCTCGACACTTGTCACAGACAGACATGCTGGAGTTAAAAAATACATGAGAGAATGTCATTCAGACAAGAATCACCGCTTTGATGTCTTCCATGTTGCAAAATGTGAGTTGCTTTGTAACTTTGCTGCATAGCAATTGGCATTAAATAAATTCATAGACAGAAAGGTTCAACTGATTTATAAATGAATGTTACAAATCAGATGTAAAAACTCCTCCAACTCTTTAAAATATCAATTGTTGGCCAAATGTTTAAATATCTACACATTCCACTGAAATTTAATTTATAACTTCATTTGTAAATGAATATTGCTTTATTGTATTGATTATTTCTTAAAGAGTTGAAACATTGATTTACTGCTATATTCTAATCCAAATAAAATGACAATCATGCTTGAAATTCAATTACTGATATAAAATTCCTATCAGCGATTGCAAGAAAGGTAGAAGAAATTGGCAAGAAGAGGACAACAGCTGTGGTAAATGAATGGGTTCCATCAATAAAAAATCATGTATATTGGTGTGCATCAACTAGCAAAGATAGTCCACAACTAATCAAGGAAAAGTGGCTTTCTCTTTTCAACCACATCATTAATAAGCACGAAGGACATGATGGACAACTTTTTAAATGCTGTGAACATGGGCCTATGGAGCGTGAATGGTTGATAAAAGGTATCTTATGCAAAAATTTTCAAACATGACAAAAAATGTAGAATAAACAATAAACGACTTTGCGAGCCAAAAACTTGTTGGATGGGATCATGTTTAAAAAGCATTTACTTGTGTTTGTGTTTCTTATGAGACAACAAACATTGATTAACACAAATACTCTTTTTTCAGGAAAAGCTGCATATAAAGAATTGAAAGACAAATTGACCAAAACACAACTTCTTAATGACATAGCTAAGCTTTCACCTGTGGAACAGACAAGCCATCTTGAATCTTTCCATAACATTGTTCTCCACTTTGCCCCAAAGCATACACATTTTCACTTTCAGGCAATGACAGCAAGGTAACAATCAAGCACATGTTATCCATTTATTTGTTCCTAAATATCAATGAGACATAATAGCCCTGGTTAATGATATCTTAAGGAAGCTTGTTATTTACCTGGTTTAAATAGCTTTTCTTTACCAGAAAGACACTGCTATCGAATAATCCTGCAATTCTATTATGCATAATGTGATATTTGGCATACAGGATTAAAAGGAATATTCTATGTCGCTACGAAACAACGAGCTGGTATGTGTCTTTCAAAGTTTGTGCTTCACTGTAAACAACGGATCAGCATAATCTTTTTATTTTCTAGGGTTCTTCTGGCAGCTATTCATTTCAATGAAAATACTGGCAGACAGCAATTGGAAACAAAGGATGGGGAGAAAAGATGGCAAATATCATATATAAAGTACAAACAAACTGGTGTGGTTAAACCAATTAAGTCAAAAAGCACATATGGTTAGTCTTTCTTGTTGGCAGTGCCTAAAAATAATCATCTTATCCTTTTTACCTGCTCATTTGATTTGATGTGTCATTTTCAAACTTTTTAGAGTATGCAAAGATCATTATGGAGAAGGCAGTTCAAAGAAGAAAAGAGCTAATAACATATGCACAAGCAGGTGATTGTCATGACTTGATCAAAAGTCCAGATCCTCTTTCTGCTGGCCATAAAAAGGTATCAAAGCCAGAGCTTGTGAGTCAGCATATCTCCCGTTTTTCAAAGACATCTTGTGCAGGGCCTACAGAGGAACAAAACAACCAAGTTCAAAACAAAAAACCTCTACATAGAAAAAGAAAAAAGGCAAATAATGCAAATGCTAGAGAAGTAAAGAAATTAAAAATTTAGGGATTTTTCGGTAATGATATAGAAATGTATATCTAGATGATGTAGAAATGTATATTCGGTAACAAGGGAACACAATTATTACTATTTTCATATGAAAAAACCCTACAGGAAGAAAACATTATATATCCAAATGGAAATATAATGTAATGTATGTGGTCCAAGGCTAATACACATATACTCAAAATATGCTGCTTTATTTACCTGATATAATCAGTGATCAATTCCAAATAACTTGAACCCTGTATATGTTTCAGATGGAAACTTGGCTCTAATCTTTGCCACCGAACAAGAAGGAATGACTTTCCTTACATGCTTTCCTAGCCGCCGCCAAATCCACCTGACAAACTGGCGATAAGCTACATGCCTAAAAAGTCTGGAAAGCAACAAAAAAATAAGATACTGGCATAAATCAAGATAAGATACTGGCACAGTTTAATATGGAAATGCTAGGAGGGGGCTTGGTCTAAAAGTTTTCATAAAAACCCCTAGAAGAAAATATCTGCAAAAATCACAATCCAAAGAAAAAAAATCTGCCAAACATGCATCAAAAATTTTAATGCGACTGGGTTCATTGGAGACGCGAGTCAGCTTTTCAAAAAAGCAGGTCCAAAACTGATCATTCAGATTGTTTTACTACCCAATATTGTTTCGCAAAGTTATTAAAACACTTTCTCCATAACGAAAAAAATGAGAAAATTTAAGACCCAGAAATCATAAAAACTTACTCAAAAGCGGGAGTATCGTCGACATAGCCTCCCACCTCACCCACATACTGATAAATCGCATCCTCTACGACATGATGATCAAGGCATAGTGACTTGAAGCCATCGTGGTCTGTTATGCATGTAAGTCTTCCGGTTCGTTTTTTTACTTCGTCTATCTCCAAGCAGCAGACACTCTCCCTTCCTTTTCGCATTGGCAAACATTTGCCACACTGACACCTGAATCAGTCAGGAAAGCATGGGTTTACTGTTTCGGCAGGTAGACACTATCATTCAAGGCAAGTCTCTATATTTTGTACAAATAGCGATCTTCAATATTGTAGTGTCTCGTGATTATCTTAGTTAACAAAAATTTGCATTTACTGATGGTAATACTAGCTCAGCTTTTAAAAGCAGAAGTAAAAATCTAATTACCATTCTGTGTGTCCTATCCTATCGGTATTTACATCATCCTCATCCTCCATATCCTCGGTGTTGTCACTTTGACTAGGCCCACAAGCTGCATCTCTTTGTGACCGCGGTAGGGGCTCAAACATATAAGGGCGAATCGTTGCCTGTTGTTGTAAATCAGGATAACTGAATTCTGTATCGGAGTCTGAATCCATTTTCAACGTATCGATCGATCCTCTTTCGCAAAATCAAGTCGATCCAACCAAAGTCAGAAAAGGCTTCCAGTTCCAAGTGGCGCAAGTGTATTCTGTGATTCTAATGTGGTGTTTGTGACGTCACGGATTTGACAAAGCTCGGACGAACTCGCAGTTAATCGGAAGGTTGTCGGTGATGAACTTTAGCGCTCAAAAACTCGCAAACAGTGCTTAATTTTCAAAAACTGAAAACGCCCTGATTGTTTTGACCAGATAGACTTTCAATAGAGATCAAGTTAATTTTGCGTGTCAGTTCACCTTTAAGGAAAGGAAGTTACTTTCTCACTTGCATAAAAAGTGTTATAGGCTATTCATGTGGACGACCCAAACGAACTCTTTCACCCACAAAATGATCAATCAAAGATCAAAGCGGTTAGACATTTCCAAGCATATTTATTATTGAATTAAATGCAAAGCTTTAGGAAAGAAGGTAGAATCAATCTTTACGACACCCTCAGCTACGTGGGACTGTTTAAAAACACAAAGTAGAATTTTTTATCAATAATAACTATTTCCATCATTATTATTATTTAATCACCTTTAAAATCCTTGTCATGTTCACATTACCAATAATGGTGAGACGAAAAAGAAATAACAAATCTGTCAACGAAATATCACCTTTTCTCCAGTTAGAGCTGCCACTTCGATTGGACCATACACAAATTTTCCGCTCACGTAAATTGCAACACCTGCTAGAGAAATGACGTCATTCGCTCGATGGTTGGAATGCATGTTCTGAAAGAGATCAATACAACATGAAGCCAACGTTTGGTGTACTCCTATTAAATACAACCTAGTAAAGCAAGACTATCAAATAAAAGGAGTTGGTAGAAGCAAAAACAAAATCAATTATGGAAGGACATAGGTTTCATTGACAAAATTGGACATGTAATACTTGAAAGTTCTGTTGCTACACTGTTCTTTCGAAAAAATAAAAAGTTTCGAATAAAAAAATCATGCTACGACACGCCTAGCCAGAAAAATCATGGCTGTAGAATTGCTTACCATGAATAAAAATAGCATTCAACAACATTGGCAAAACATTGGCACAGCGATGTGCACCAGAAATTTCGTTAGGCAGTGTGGCACATAACTAGGGAAATGTTCTTAGTACCTACTTTGTTTCTTCTGGGCTTAAATATCAAAAGCATAATGTTCACGAGATTTTGTAACAGAAAGAACTCATTACTAGTTGGATGTCTTTACGAGTTGACACGAGGAAGCTCTTTCTGTCTGCACAAGTTCGGATCACGAAAGAGGAGGGCTCTCTCAGATTTCCGTGTCTTAATTCCCAGATATATTTGAGATGTACAACACAAGCCCGTGATTATTAGCTGGAAACACATGGGATCACATTAATAATTTTGCCACATATTGTGAAGATGTTTCAGCATTCACAATTTACCTTGATTTTCAACGCTGTGCGTTTCTTAATCCACTTTTCTCGTGGGTTGACTGGCTGGAATAATGCTGTTTCAAAGAGGATGGACTCAGATTTCGCAGCAAGACCTTCGTCAAGAATCTGGAATCAAAATAATTAAGCATACAATTGCAAGTTGTGCAATATAACTTGGCAAAAGGCGTTTAAAAGAAAGGAAAAGTAGCTATTTGTCTTGGTCAGCCCTTTGGACAGTAAAGTGTTTGACAGAGCGAAATATAAAGATTTATAACTGAAGTGCAGTACTGACTAATAAAACCTAGCATGAAGGTCCATAATGATATCACATGTGATTAAAAAGCTGATTGGAAAACTACAAACCTGCCATAGAATAAAGGCAACCATGTCACGTGATTCCCAGTAGCTAGAATAGCAGAGTTGAGAGAGTGCTGAGAAAGGGAATTGCTGCAGACCATCCGGACAATACAGCATATAATCGATACGCTTTGTACCCCACCAGGTACCTGTTGAAAACGTTAAAACATTTAGCAAACAGAGTAGATTCCATAATTAGGCTGACACAACAAAAGCATTCGCGTGCAACATCAGGAAATCGACACAGAAAACGCAGCTATTTTCCCACATCTTCACGTTTTTACCGTGGCCTAGAAATTTTTCAGAAGGATGACCATCTGTTTCTTTCTATGAAGAGTCATTTCTATATTGTGACTGTGCGCACATTTATTCAAGGCCTCAGTTCATATAATTGCACGTACTTGAAAACAACGTTATAGCTTTTGAGGGCGTGGCCATTTGAACCTTCTAAGGCCACGCTCTCTGGCCATTCCTTTTTTCATGAAAATCCCATAACTGACATAAATCGGTTTCAGAAAGACGAAAAAATTCTATCGTGTTTCAGAACTTGTTATTGTTCTTTGTAGTAAATGTTTTAATATCAATCACAATTTTGCAGCTTGTAGAACCCTAAGTGGGTGTGAAGTAAAATTTCCAGATAAATAATCAACTTCTTTAAAAGCTTTGTTGTAATTATTTTTTATGAAAGTAAAGTGTTGAAAATTCGATTTTTTTTCTCGATTGGTTGGTGTAGAGTTAATCAAACTAGCTCACAATATGACGAAAAATCATTTAAATGTTACTCAATGCTCAAAAAACAATGTCAACAAGCAATGTATATATGACATAGATTGAAAGCAAAGAGAAAGAAATAGAGTGCAGCCAAACTAACAGAGTTTTTGGTATGCTGGCAGCACTAAAATGTTGACAAGGAAACTGATACCTCAAAAGCTACGCAGTGTTACTTTCAACCAAAAAAGCATGTCAAATCATATTTTTACTTCCTTAAAACCTTTTTCCTCTTGCAATTGTTTTCTTAAATACAATCAAATCGGCGCAAGAAGCTGTGATAGCAACAGACTTTGCTAATCTAGTAAGCAATTCTAAAATTTAGGAAATGTATTCTACTTATAAATAAGTAAAATCCAAACAGGACAGATCTTTGAAGAAAAATTCACTGATAGCACGCTGAATTCGATCGTTAAATTTACAATGCACTTTGATATTTAAGATAGCTATAAATCAATCATCCGTCAATATTTGAACAAAATGCATACTGCCTTCTTTGATCATTAAATCTCAAAAATAGCAAATTCCGTTGATTAGGTTAAACGTGAAGGAAATAAATAAGGAAATAAGTGGCAGAATGTCCACATGGTTCAATTGACTGGATAAGATTTTAGATGCGATCAGTATTATCAGGAGGTGAGATTGTTTGAGTGTGACACCAAACCCCAACCGAACCATTTCCTTGAAGTAAAATTGTGGTTGAGGCTCCTTATTACAAATCATCGTTTTACCATCAAAGAGCATACAAGGGGGACAGAAGAAGTTTATCTTATATCCATGCTACATAAGGAAACAATCTGTCTGAATGAACATATTCTTGCCATTGATTATGCACGATATATTCATTTTAGGCGGAACCAATGTTCGACACACCCATACTATCAAAAAAGGCCACCCTACATCTATTACAAGCATGTTTAGAAACATTATGCAAATGCATAAATAATGGTACCTTATTTGAAGACTGTGCAATAGTATATGATTTAATGTTTTGCAATGCATATTTGCCCCTCTTAAACAGACTGAATCTAAGGCATTGTGTAAGAGCTCTTTAGTCTACCGGTATGCGAAAGGATATGAATACAGAGCAAAAACAAAATGCCAAAAGCGTGAATACCTGAATTGAGAAATCTACTTTGGGATTCGTAGAAGGTATCCACGCTGTTGCAGCTCCCAGTGAGAGATAATTTGCACCCATCTCTGTTTTTTGTACCAAACATAGTTTCGGTTGGGGTCTCAGGCGACTGCGAAATTTCCCCATCTTGCTGTGATTTGGTTTCCATAGGATGAGTCTCATAAAGAATTTCTGCACTGAAAGGAAACACTTGATAGCGCGGGAGATGCGCAGGTTCCACGTTTGAAAACATCGGATCAATCAACGGCTCCAGTCTCGATGCACAGGGATCAAATGGAAGGAAGAGGTTAAACACCTGGTTGCAGACTGGCTTGGTTGGCAAAGCTGCATGGGATACACATAAGATAAACGGATGATAGATCACATCATAACACCACACATAGTCTATTCTAGTAAATCAATGCTTACTACAAAGCGGTAATTAGTAGTATTAGATCAATGAGTTTTTAGATCTAATCTAATTAAATGCACTATGCATGAAAAGTAGCAATCTGCTGGCGGTGAATTGGTTTCTGTGTTAACACTGAGTTTGCTAGGAAAGTTTGCTAAAATGAGCTGAATGAAGGAAAGATGTTTCTAGAAACGAACAGTAATACAAAGTGTACATAGCCCTTTCAAGGTTGCTAGAAGCAGGCATGCTGGAATCAAGATTTCTAAGGAAAATAGTTAAAAGAAGCATGTTCCCTCTCACCTCCATTACTCTCTAAAAACTGCTTCATTAATATCATGCCAATTGGAGATCCGCAGCAGAAAAAATTCTTCACATCAAACTCAAACTGCTTCTGACTACGAAAGAACGAAACCTGGGATGATGGCCCAGAGTCAATGCTGGAGCTGCGTTGGTAAGTGAAGCTCCGTTCCTGATTTGGCTCTATGTTCACCTTGTCACTCAAATTATCCGCTGCATTGGAACCCAATAGCGAATCGAGGCAGTTATCTGCAATCTGGTTTCTTTGGCTGCATAGGGCACCGTAGACGAGAAGAGCGCCAACACAGTCAGCTAGAATTGATACCTATGAATAAAGTACAAATAATGATAAACTCCTATTGATTTGGAATGACTGAACAAAGAGGATCTACATTGCACATCGGCTTGCTATCATAAAAACTAACAGAAAATCAAGCGTTGAAAGCATATAGGAATACACAGGAAATGACGTAAGGGGATATTGAAGCAAGACTGAGGCCTATGTATAAACCGTAAAGGGTGAACTGGGGAGGGGGGGGAGGGACACTACAACTACTAATTTTTATTGTATTAGTGTAATTGTTCTAAAATGCGGAAATGCAGCCGTAAAGACACGATATAGATCTTGAAATCCAAAAAAGGAAACATTAACAGATCGCAGGATCTCAGTCGAAAACTCACTTTTATATTTTCCTCATCTTCGTTTGATGTCTCTAAAAATTTTCTGTAGATGGCATTGGCTTCATTGATGACGAAATCGACTCCTTGGTAAAACTCTAATGATGACACCAACAAAAGTGGTATACACGACAGAGGAAACGTGGGCGGTAACCAGGCATGTTCTGACGACGGAGCTAAAAATATGAAAACGAGAAGATGGAAAAACTTTGCTTACTTTACCCGGAGATCACTTCAGAGATAAGTCAAGATCAAAAGAGGATGATGATAATTATCCAAAGAGCTTATTTCTATAGAGAAATTAAACAAATTAATAACATTTATAACTAGCCAAAAGTGTATCTTCAAAGTGTATTTTATTCAGGAACCGAGATTTCCTTTTAATCAGTTTGAATTGTAATAGCACTTCGAAGAATAATGGGTTAGATTTCTCAGAAGACTTCAACATTTGATGATTGAGGCGAGCTTGTATGAAGTGACTGGTAGTGATATAGAAAGGTAGGCAATACAGTCGATCCTGGGCAGCAGGAAGTGACAATATTAAATGGGAAAAAAGTATTAGCAGCAAGCATGATATTATGTTAATTTTGCAAAAAAATTAAAGCATATAATCGTTATAGCTACGGAGACTTAAAAATCTCTGTATGAAGGACACTTGTGGAACTAAAGTTACTGTCCGTTAATAGAAGGGTGTCCGTTGTAGCGAATTGTCCGCTGTAGATATTTGTCCGTTGTGCAAATAGGTCTGTTGAAAACAAGAGTCCGTTTTTGACAAGCGTTCGTCAATTCTAAGATGACAAGGAAACATAGAAAAGACAGTTAGGGATTTTGATTTGTCATTTGTCTGGAGGTGTTCGCTAATGAAGATGCAATGCAGTTAAAGGTAATGTGTCCAGCTATAGCAAGCGACTCTGCGGGGGTTTTTAGAAACATGTGATTTTTTATGTCATCGCCACAGTCATTAAGGTCGTTCTGTTTATTTATCCTGCTGCGAGGTTAGCTTTTCATGTGAGCAGTTTTGCATCGCAAGAATACTAACCAATCGCAAACTGTTATTTTGATGGGTAGCTTGACAAGTTGGGTATACGCAGTCCTTTTATATAGACACATTACCTTTAATGACGGTTTTGCTGTTTAATAGTACAAGGTGAAACTTGATATTGAGGCGACCCTGTTAATTCCGGAGGTTTTCCTCCAGCTTTTCGTTGGCAGTAAGGATATTTTCAGAAAAAAACATGCAGTCTTTTGTAGAGGTTAAGAATGCCGTTTTAGCTGCAGTATATAGCAAATGTGTTTCGAGTAGTTGACAATGGCCATAATCTATGATATCAATGATCGAGAAAATGACAATATTCAATCACGAATGGAGGTATTAAAAATGATAAATAATTCAAGGCCAGATTAAAATTCGCCAGTAGCAAATCAAGAGTCAATAACAAGAACTCAAAAGTCAGTGACAGATCAATGACTAGGGCGAAAATGTTTGACAAAGTCTGTGCATTTGAAATAAGGATCACACAGTATGATATTCCAAAAGTATAACACAAAGTAAATAAGACAGATCCCTTTCGATTGACGCAAATGATCTCACAAACGAGATAAAGATTCTTGCTAAACGAAATGTCTTGTGATGTTTGCTGGTCTCCTCATCAAAAAGGAAAATGTAAGCTGAATGGGGATGATAAAAAGATAAGTTGATACAAAACAGGTCTGTAAATAAGCCTTCGGAAACTAGTCAAAGGGAATGTATAAGTAAAAGGAATGTTTGTTTCAGATAAAGGCAATGGACGGCCATGTGATCATCAACGACCTGTATCAAGGTCAGAGGCATGCTTTCAAAAAGTGCAAGTTGCAAATCAAAGAGATCCAGACGCAATTCTAAAATGTTCAATCTAAAGCATGTTAGGTGTGTGTCAATTATTCTCAGCTCTTATGGCTTAAAATTTCTTTCCACAGAACATTCTGGCGGTTGAGAATTATAAAAGTTGCCTTGAAAAAGAATTCTAGAACACGCAATCTTCTTGTCTGACACTCTTTAGACGTCAGTGTGCTTCTGGCTAGGCAGGACAGACGGCCCAAAGATTGAGGATAGAATAAAACAGCGTATCCCTTTCAACATAAGAAACAAAACTCTCCCCCTGAGAGCACAGCCCCTTCGGCAGATCTTAAACATAAACCAAAATTTGTGATTCAGCCATTGGGCAACATTTTCAAGAAAACCCAGATTATGCCGAAAACTTAAATATATCGGATAATTGCCGGATCTTTGTTCCGTCTAGCAAGTTTAGAATCCATCTTTTATAGAATCCATTGGATATATTTTCAATAGTCAAGCAGCACAGAGTGGCCTTTTCCGATCGGCAATTGTGTATATATATACTTAGTCTTAGCGTAGAATTTTCGATTGGTAGTTCGTCGAGTATTTCCATAATTCATGACACGAAAGCTTTGCACTAGCTTTAATAGCCACAAAGTAATTGAATCTCCTTGTTCCACCCAAAAGCTCGGGAATATGGACGAAAATACTTTCACGCAACCTGTATAAGATCTGCAAACAACTTGCGGCAAAGGCATTTTACGGAAAAACGCAACAGCTGAACTGCTTATTGAATCAAAAATCACAAAAACGAGCCCTTATATTTCAGTTTCGTGTCGTTATTGTAATAGAATTTATATTAAGTCTTAAAAAGTACAAGAAAGAACTGCAGCCGGGTTTCAATATTGCTAAAGGGGATTTTAAAGTGCACTCGACAGAAATAATTTGCAAGGAGTTGTCATGAATTTAAGGGATCGGCTTCTAAACGACCTTGCTATATGACGCAAGATTTAAGCATAAATAATCTTGAGGACGGTTTATAACCTCACAAAACAAAATTCTCGACGTAGAAACGAAGAAACCTTGAACTTTGCATCCTTGAGAAAGTCGACAATTCAAAACGCAAAGCTATTTTAAATCCTTCATAGCTCCGGGCATGTCATTCAATGTTTTTCAAAAACCCATTTCTATTCATTTCAAAAATTAGCTTGTTAATATAAGTCAAATTTTTCTTTCTATCCGAAATTGAATGTAAAGTAGTTTGAATAAATTTACATAGATGGAAAATATTTCTGTGAGCAACACGTCGTCCTGCTTTAATGGTTGAAGGGGGAACCTGCGTGGGAGCGCTGCGACGCACCACAGGGACCTGAAGCTGCTATTTTCATGATGCTTAACAAGATATAGATTCAATAAAACCATATCTGATAGAGCACGGCATTAAACCGACGCATTTTTCCCCTAAAATTTGGGAGACTGTGTACGCTGTTGTAAAGTATTACAACGAAAAAAGCAAAATAAAACCATACGTGGAATTATCTTATTTGTAGGATTTGATGTTCCCTTTAGTAGCCAGGGAAACATTATAAGAATAAATGTTCCAATCAAGCCCGCAGGCACGTGTATAAGGGACATGACGTTGTGGATATGGCATCTGTATTTACGTAGATAGAAATTACGTAGAAAGTTTTCTCAAAACATATCTAAAGCAGAAGTGGGCAATTTATTTTCACAAGGGGCCACATCAAAAACCTGAAAAGTGATGGAGGGCCGAACCGACGATAACTTTCTTCTGTGCGATGTTTATCCTCTCCCAATGTTAAAAGCAATAGACCAATTCGACTTACGGCCTCGTTTTGAAAAAATCTTCAAATTCTTTTGTAAAAAATATTTAACCTCAGATTCGGATTAAAAGCAATGAATTTAGTCTACTTGGAAATTTTCATTATGGTATTGCTCACGATATTGATTTTATGACGACATTAAGATAAAAAATTTATAAAAGATTTGACCGTGATTGGCGACTAAGGGGGTAAAGTTTCACCCGGAATGATTTTTGCGGTCAAATCCCTTGCAAGTTTTCAAACTTCATTCCTCCATAAATCTAAATTACAAGCACAAACAAAATGAAAAAATGTATCCAGCCTAAATCTATTGTGATAAAACCAAATCTGAGCTTAAAAAAGTCGTCTAATTAAATTTGGAGAAATTTCCAAAACGAGGCCGTAAGTCGAATTGGTCAATTCATTGCACTATATTGTGACTGCTAGTGGTTATCAGATGGATAAAGATATTACGTGAATATCTATATAAAACATATAAATAATCATATATGTATAAATAAATATAAATAATCTTGTGGTGTAGCTCAAGTTGGAAATAACGCCCGCAAAAGTTCATGTTCTGATTGACCTCACATTAACGCTGGTCGGATAGAAAATTCCAAAGGAAGTGGCCTGTAGGCCGTATGACGCCCAGGTCTGATCTAAAGGAACCTAGATGAAAAAGCAATATGATATGCAACAGTTTTGTGCATCGTTGACTTCGGAAGACTTTGAAATAGCGCAAATAGATGCTTGTTTAAGGGACAGTATCTTGTTGACATGAGAATCGAACATCTGTTTTTGCTATGAATAATTTTTAAAAAACTTGGAATCAACAATCAGATATTATCCCACAGTATGGAAAATCCATCAAAGGTTTGTATTTGCTAAAAAGGTTCATTTGTGAAGGAAATCGCCAAGACTCGTGCGATCTAACAAGAGCTTTCATCGCGGATAGCAAACGGGGCAAAGAGGGAGAAAGCTCAGATGCATGACAAAAACTGACACAGCGGAATACCGCGATGACAGTAATTCTTCAAAGAAGAGATTAAGATATGCAAAATAAATCTCAGGTTTTCAGCTAAAAAGCTTAAAACGGATCACAAAGATAACAACAAACTTTGATACCTTGCGGAATAAACGATCAAATCTCAAAGTCTTATGCAATCAACTGGTTCCAAATTTGATTACTTGTCGTCAGCTCTTCATTTTGATAACAAGACGTCATCATTTGAGAATTTAATAAATACAGAGTGAAATCTATTACAAAACATTAAAAAAAGAAAGTATTTTTAGAAGCTTGTGGGTGCAATGTTGTAAGTGAATAATATTGACAAATTATTTGCAAAATCTTAGCAGATTGGTGAAATATATTAGTATCTGGTAAAACGATAAGTAAATGAAAATCACACCTTTTTCTTCAGCAAAGACCGATATCTTCCTGAGATGCTCGACAATCTGTGGACATACGGGCGGGCACTCAACCATTCTCAGAGCAGCATTATGTTCGGCAGAAGGATACAACAAAGATGCTACTGATGAGAAAACTGATTTGAAGGTGTTAAAGTCTCTAGCCTTTGGATACTGATCGGATTCTACATCAGATACACCACCGCCATGAAAGACAAGCAGCAGAACGGACTTTGGTGACGCATCAAGGGAGTTCTCTGTCATCTTAACGATTCAAAAAAATATTGTAGTTATTTTTCAAGTTTTGATAAAGCTACGTAACAATCTAAACATGACAACATTTTATTAGGATAAAATGAATTAGAAGTCTAATACAGTAATATTTAGAAAAGACAGTAATGTTATAACATATATCATATAATATTAAACGCTTTATTCTTTTTCATACTATTCTATGAACTTTTTACTATACAGCACCATACTGTGCTATATTCAATATTAATGAATAAAGCATAGTATGAAGCTTTTAGAATAAAATACACAGAATTCGATTAAGCAAAAGGAACTATATTACACAAAAACATGGTAAAATATCATATGATATGATTTGACACAATATAACATGATCGTAATATAATATAACATAACGTGATACGATATAATATAACAAGATACAATAAAAGAAGATAAAATACAAAATAATATAATATAATATAATATAATATAATTATAATATAATATTATATAATATAATATAATATGATAAATATAATATAATTATAATATAATATAATATAATAATATATAATATAATATTAATATATATAATAATATAAATATAATATAATATAATATAATATAATATAATATAATATAATATAATATAATATAATATAATATAATATAATATGATATGATATGATATGATATGATATGATATTATGTAACATAAAAACATACCATTTAATACAGTACTGTATGATAACACGAAACAAAACTTATACAAGTAATACAAAAAGTATAAAACATATAATGCAAAATGATAAACCAAATGACATAAAAATAGCATCGTACGAAAAACCATGCTGAAAGTGAAAACACAATAAAAGAGCCGTAAAAGATTGTCGCTTATGTCGAAACAGGCAAAAATCGATTTCGACATGTCGTTTGTTCGAAGAAAGAGCAGAATTTCACCATTTAATCAAATACGTGGAAAATCGTTGCTTAGAATTCTTGACAATGAATTCTCGGTGAAGTTATTGCTTGCAGTAAACACTGCTCTCGTCGTCCACAGTTATCGTTGAGCATCTGAGGATTCAAAGAAATTCTGCAAAACGAGGCAACACGAAAAGCTTAAATATAATGAAGCAGGTATGCTTTCTGCAAATTTCCTTGACAAAGCCAATTTTTCAACCTACCTCTCTCGGTATTTGAAAATGTTTGAAGTTATCACAAGACGAATCAACAGATTGAGCAGGATAATTAAGCTCTTTGGTCAGAATACACTCTTTTTTATCGTTCTTTAGCTGTTCAACAGGTGTACGTACTGCAAACCTCCCGAAATCATCTCCAAGATCGTCTAAAAAATGAAATATCACATTCGTTAACTGTTAATGAGAGCGATAATGTTCAGGGACGTCTCAACTTGCAAACCAGAGGTTATTGACAAGTTAATGCAACTTATGCTATTACTCCATGCTAGGCTATCTATTGTGACGCCTGGCTGTATTCCAACAAAAACCTATGCATTTAAGCAAAGTGATTTGCGACAGGATTTTGGCGCTACAGCTACACCCGTGCGCGTTGACCAATGATTCATTAATAAATTTGGAAAGCCCTTGTCAAAGGAAAGAATCGAAGATTTTTTGCAAGCAAATCTAAAATTTACTTGTCCAGAGACCAGCATAATGCATTGAATAAACAGTAAACGGTAAAATCAATTATGTTTGGTTATCAGCAAAGCAGTAAAATCAGAAAATATTTCTTATCAGAAGTTTTTAGGAGTAAATTCCTGTTATTGTTAGAAAAATATTGCCCCCTGGAAACTACTTTTACTCTGATGAAGCCCTGTTTGCCGGGGCAAAATTCGTTTTATTTAATTTATTTTGGATCACATTGGATTCTCGTCGACGTTTTGCTTTGTTCCTGAATTTTATCTTCGTATTTATACTCATTGCAAGATTCACAGAATCTGGCGGACAGCCTATCCTGCGGTTCTTACTTCTTACGCTTTATATTACTGCTATTAGACGCTTGTAATCAAATATTTACGATGGTTCCATAGAACCATCCTTATGGTTCCAAATGATTCCATATGATAAAGACAATATTACTGCTCAATAACTACCATAATACATTTCGGTATTATTTTCTTGATTATTTTCCAAAATCAGTATTCATCTATGAGTAATATTTTCTACATATTTGAACTAATACTAAGTATGTATGACAAAAAATAATAATTTATTTATTTAGGGTTGGCTTATTTTATAGCTGATACTTATTAACGCCAACCACATGAAAGTACATGATAATAATGAGATAAAATGTAGCTTACAAGAATACAAAGCTAACAAGAACTAAAGAAATCGTAAATCTGTGATATATTGCTTACATAGTTTACAGTTGCAGTTAGGTTTTATTTCTTTTCTAGAAAATATGCAATGTCTGGGATTCTTTTATGGAAAAGCATGTATTTTAAATAGAAAATTAATTAATTAATTACTTGCACGATTATAATTAAAAATTAAGAAATTAATTACACGATTAAAAGAAAACTGACAGTGGACTTCGGAACACTGAGGGACACTAAATATCTAACAAAAATACAGAACCAATAGTTGAAATAAAGTAAAGGATCTAAAAAGATAGGAAAATGTCCACGACAAGAGCAAAGTTTTAAGCGGAAGAAGGCAGGGTGATAAATTATCTTCTCGACAAATCAATCAGCTTCTTGATCATTTGAAAAACGATTTATAGTCGTCACTTTTTTTCTGTAAAACATTCCCTGCTACGCCAGGGTGCATTCCATGTAGTTTACGCCGGAGATCTCCGGCGTGGACTTAGCTTTTTCCTCGGTGTAGCGGCGTGAAATTTGCTATTTGCGAGCCTTGGCACATTGGCGTACGTGATAAATTTTCGCGATCGGCGTAGCAAAAATGGTACTTGTACAGAATACGTAGACAGCCTGATTATATTGATATGGACAGTAAAAGCAATGCAAACTATAGATTAATCGAAAGCTTGTATGTTTTACACTTGGCGTAGCAACTAGAATAGGTTGAAATTTCTCTGGCGTGGGTCTAACATGGAATGCACCCTGGCTGCTACGAAATGATATTCTTCTGATATTTAGCTTGTGTTATTATTACAGTCATTGTTTCTTGCATATGTCATTCAAGTCTGACTTCGCTATTTCAGACATAATCGTCAAAAGACCATAGAATGATACATTATGTCGAAGTGCCAAGCAATGTTGAGGCGTTTAAATCTCATATACAATTATCCTCAAAAATGTGAAGACAAGGAATTAGTTCTAAGTCAATCAACTGTTTTGCTTTTGCATGAAAAATGAACATTATGCGTAACATTCGAATAGCTAATTTCTAAGACTTAATTCTAAGAATAAAGTCCTGAATTTTCATTCCATCGAGAAAACTTTTGCCCATTCCTTCCATTCAAATAATATTGATGTGGTTACACAGAAACAATGAATATATATTATGACCAGGAACCGCATAACTGTCACAAACTGTCATTCAGTTTATCAACATTTTTCTTAAGCTTTAAAATCATCAAGCTGATGCACCATAAAAATAAGGCTCTGCTTAATTCAGTATCAATTGTTCCTCAAATTTGTTTACATTTTTACTGTAAGTGCAGACTATATAATCATGTAAATAAGACAAGTAACTTTCTAAAATTAATGATAATCTGACGTTGCTTAGATAAGATACAAAAACAGATCGGCTCACACTTAATCAGAAACTATAGAAATTTGGCTTTTTACTGTCCGTCTCAAACAATGCCTAATAAAAATGTCTGCCAAGAGCAGCCTTTTTAATTATATTTCTCTTATCATTTTAGGTAATTAAGAAAAAATACAAGGGCGGCAAACAGCCAACAAGGCGATATAACATATGATATGCATTTTCCCCGTCTTCATGTTAAAATATTATAGGAAATAAGTCCAACACCTCCTCAGCTCCTTTCGCAATAACCTACCTGCCCGAAATTAGGCGAGATACCCCAGAAACACCAATTAAAACATCATTCCTCGTTAGTCAATATCATGTAGGCCTGTCGTGGTTTGTTCAAACCAATATTAGCCAGCTTAAATTGTCTGATACCCCAGAACTGCCTTTGCAAAGTGGTTAATTGTTAATAATTTAATTTAGCCATGAGCAAAGATAACAATGCTATTTCCTATAGATTTTTCTAAGAAAAAGAACCTTGCTACTTTGTTCCTTTGCAGTTTCGGGCGCAGGAAGCTATAGCCCATGTGTACCAGTCTTGTCTAAGTATCTATGGAATCTCGACCTCTAAATATCTTTGCGACTATATCTTTAACAGTCACGCTGTTTTAAACATTTAATATCGCTGGTTAATTGCGAAAATCAGTTGATTAGTCAAACGATAACAGCCTACTCACCCAAGGCATCCACGTACTCATCGTCGCTCTCTGGCGTCTCGTAGCCTTCTTCCGAATCTTCCTCGATGCTTGTCATGCGAATTCCAAGAATAAGCTCTTCGGTTGATTGGTCACTTCTGGTTGCTTTTGGAGAGCCTACGCAGAGGCTGAGATCCACTTTCAGAGACCTTCTACGCTCATCAGAGCCTCTTCGTTCATGTCCATGTCCCTGGTCCTCATCAAAATTGCTTTTGCAAAGGTCTTTCTGTACTTCGGCCTCAAATTCCCGTATGTCATTGATTGTTAGAGAGCACCATTCGTCTTGCCACGACCAAGCCTGTCGATGGCCAACCAATACGGTCCTTCGGGCGCTGTCTTGAATGTACTGTTCAATTTTGTTCTAACGGAAGAAAAACAACTTGGTTCACAACCCATTTACCAATGAAAAACACCGTATTTACTCCAATATGGCGGAAATACGTATATTCATTATCAATATATATTAACTATTTCAAGACTTCAATGCCGTGTTTATTAGAGAGAGTCGTATATACTATGCTACTAAGTGGAGATGTCTAACAGATATTCCTGTTAGTTTGGTAGGAAATTTTTTAGAGAATTGTTTAAATCACTCACTTCTTAGAGCCTCTGGGACGTAGCTACAACTGTTGATGGGGTGGGGGGAGGGGGGAGGACCTGGGTGTATGGGGGTGGCAAAAAATAATGAAATCTGTCATCCTAGCACAAGCATACTATAAAGACATTTAAAGCAAGCTATAGTCATTAAGAGAGGAATGAGACACTGCTCCTAGAGATACTGCTGCGAAAATAAACTCCATCAGGTACATTAAAAATCAGAGCGAAAATGGCAAATACAGAAGTTGTACCGTGAACAAAGTGGAGACGAATTTGATCCTTCACGTGTGAATGAAGTTTTGATGCAAGTTGCATCAGTAAAAAACGAATGAATTACAGAAATGAAATTCTGAACAATAGATCAAAAGAATGCATACAAAAATGTGTTGAGAAATTCCATAAAGTTAAAATGATACAAGAACCAGAGCTTAAAATACAAAAAAAGCACGACTAGTTCAATGTTGTGATGTGGCTTTTCTGTCTGATGATACAATTTGCAGCCCTTAATAGCTCCAAAACTCTGGAGCCTTCAATAGGACATCTTGGAGGAAGCAGATGCCTTTTTGTATCAGATCCGTTTTGGCAAAAATCATGCTTTCAAAATTCAACCATGAGTCTTTTGAATTTTTGATGAATTATCATCGCCCAACCCCCAAGACATGGAGAGGGATTTATTGAAAGCAAACATTTGTTTGACAGATGCGATGCCAGTGAAACCTGGAAGACAGAAACTATTGAATTGAATACTCTGGTGGAAATAATCTTCATTTTTTCATTAGTTTTTTGTCTCTGGATCACTGGACTTATATTAAACCTCTGAATTACAGATGCACTGCTTTAAAGGATTCATGCAGACAGGGGAAGACTTGGTAGCAGATTGCTTCTAGAGAAAATGCAAACATGAGTACCAAAATCACTATGCCTCAGCATAAACTAGAAGCAGCCAGCAAACAACAAAATGTTTGCAACTGAATTACTGAAGCTATGCTAGTTTTCCACCTGGCACGCAGCCATATACCGCGCTGGCTGAGAAAATTGGCTGAGAACAAGCATCTGCAAAAAGTCATGTTGCACCACCAACATTACTTTTGTGATCAAAGCCACAAGAGTACATGGAAACAAAGATACATTTGTAACCGAGCATGCTGTAAGCTTGGGCACTATTCTTTGCATAGATATAATTAATTGCCATTTGCTTGTGGGCCGTGATCGGTTTGCGAGCACAAATATTTAGATGTAATTGCCTATGGCCACTACAACTGTAAATATATCTTGTCATAGTTAAGATACCCAAAACTTGGTATGATGGGAGTCTCCCGTACTGGGATGTAAATAGAAACAGCTTTCTGTGATCAAATAAATGAGCCAATTTATGTGTACATCGAGTTTGCTTGCACACAGAAGAATGCCAACGAGACCAGGCTACTGGGCAGGTTATTCACTGTGCGCCCTGTGCCTTCAAAGGAAAAGTAGGAGACAAAGTAGAATTTCAAAACTGCTACTAGCTTGTGAACGCTCTGAAACGTTTACGCAATAAACTTATTCATTTCAAAACTATCATGACCTAAGTGAGTTTAGAAATGAATTAAAAAAACATCAAATGGTGATGAATTTGAACAAGTGCACATAAAAAGTATACCCCTAAAGGATTACTCAAGACTGTGGCAATCCAGAAATTCCAAAACTGACCAAGGTACAGATATTGCTGATCCGTATAACATAAAAGCATACAGGCCTCGTTTACAACTTCAGGGAAATACACTTACGGCCTCGGTTTAACTTGTCAGATACTAAAGCTCGGGACAGTTTTTCGTCATTTTGTCGTCCTTCAGTACAACTGAAAAAAAGTTTTATGATCGCTTGAAGTGTAAAACTCGTAGTTACAGCTTAGAACTGGCCTGTTCTTTACACCAAAGCGTGTACAGTCCCGCCTAAATGGCATTGAGGATCATAGGACACACTGGCAGAACAGTAATTCTCATTCTATTCTATTTTAGACGATTTATATAAATGAATGTAGGAAATAACTACTGAATAAGAATACCTGGATGCCCCAGTATCTGAACTCGACCGTGATAAGCTTGTAAGCACACATGATCGGTCGCTTTGTATGATCAGCCACATAATCATTAAGCCAATCATCCTGGAGAGGGCCTCTCTTTGTCTTCTTGGAAATAAACAGTCGTGGATCTTCTTCCGGGTTATAGTAGTTAGAGGGATATGAATCTTTAACTGGATCGATCAAGTCTGTAATAAGATCAGATAGCTGTTAAAAACCAGTTGTTACAGAAAGGAGTCTTTGTAAAAAATGGCAGTGACAAAAGATATATCTCAGTGCATGTTTTGCAGTTAGAAAATATTCAAGATGATGCGCAAACAAGCAGAGAAAAAAGAAGAAGAAAGGTGAAAAGACGAGAAGTTGGAAAAGAAGAAGGAATCGAAGGAAAAAAAAACCCAGACAAAGCGAAGGACAGCAGATGATGAAGAAACTGTGATGCTTTAAACATCACCAAAGATAGAAAAAACAATGAATAATTGTCAGATGACGATAAAGACGAAGGCGATGAAAGCGATGAAAGAGATGAAGGCGATGAAGGCGATGCAGATAATGCCGGAGACCATGAAGAAAACGACGATGAAAACGAAGCCAATCCAGACGAAAACAATCAATTTGACGACCACAAAGATGAAGAAGACAAAGATGATGAAGACAATCAAGAGATCGAAGACGATGAAGACAAAGGCAATGAAGACGAAGAAGAGGAAGACCATTAAGAAAAAGACGATGAAAACGAAGACTATAAAGATTATAAATAGTAATAACATAAAAAAGACAACAGAGAAGATAAGGTGACGAAAAATGAAACAATTAAGAAAATTCTCAAGATAAATCTAAATTGGGTAAAGAAGACGAACCTGAAAAAGAAAACATTTTAAAATACAGGATCAAATTAAGGGGAATCCGGTCGAAGACATATGTAGGATATTAGAACACATAAATACATACAAGAAGAAAACTATAAATTTTGATAAGATGTATATTGAACTAGGCAAATCAGAGCAGAGCCCACGGAAGGCAGAGAAGCAGATGGTTGTTTAGGCCTTGTTCAAACGTCGCACTTCTCATGTGCCGAACCTAATAGTGAAAGGGCGATGTGAGCGGTTGCTTGCCTAAGAAATGATTGTAAAATCAGCGGATCTTCTTGATTTCTGATACAGACAGATGTGATATATACAGCGTATCTGCCGACTTATTTCAAAACCGGTTCCTGGTGAGCAGCTAACCCGACGTTATTTTTTCTGCTAATAGTGGTGCGGCATCTTCTTTACATGTCTAAAACCCTTCTTGGTTTACTGAATGAATTATTTGTCGGTGGCAAACAAAGCAGCTAAGAGGTTCTACGTAAATCAGAAAAAACCGTAAATCACGACTGACAGTCTGAGTTTTTATGCCAGAAACATCTGAGTACAATATAAAGATTTAACTGGACGTCTCGCATAGTTATCGGATCATTGGCAATAGGAATAGAATAAATGGAATAGAACGATTTCACAGTAGTTCTAGCAATAAGATGAAGTTACCACTTATATAGAGTAGCTACTAGTTGTTAAGAAAAACTAACAATAGTCTAGAATAAAGTCCAGTTGTCTGATTGATACGTCGCTAAAGAACTCGTTGTTACAATTAATACCATCACGTTCTACAAGTCCATTTACCATTAGCTCGAATTGGAAGACCATTGTAAATAAATAACTAAAGAGGTTATCGTCCCCAAGAGCTGCTGAGGGGGAGGGCAAGGGGGCAGATGGCCCCAGGGCCTCGAAGTATAGGTGGGCCTTATAAAGAAACGAATTCCGTATATCGTATGTTTATTTTTACAAGTGAGCTACGATTACAATGCTTTCTAACTCATCTCTCTTAGTATTTTAACACAAAAAAAAGTATCTGGGAAATTTCATGTATGCACTATGTTATTATTTTTTCATCAACACTTTCTGATACTTTAAAAGTTATTTAGAGTATAAATTTTTAAGAAAGCAGATGCGCTTTTTTCTCTTTCTTCATATGATACTCACAAAAGTACAAAACTTCAAAAGAAATAAAAATGCAGAGCACCACACAGTCTCCCCAGTTCTGTGTCTGTCCCTGAGCCTTTCAAATCACATTTATATTAAGAATACAAACATATTGTATCCTGTTTTCTGCTTTGAAGCATAGTGTAGCGTCGGACAGAGCCAAAGAGAGATTACGGAACGATATAGTAGGCCAGTACGATTTCTTAATCGAACAAAGTTGATCATTTCGTTTTTGAAGGCAGTGATATCGTACAGTACAATTATCTCGATTTGCCTGATAGAAATATTATCGCATAACATGGGTTAAAAATCCTGGTAGAGCAGCAGTGCATCTTCTACGACGGCAACACTTAGCTGATTGCTAGCTAAAGGTGGCGGCACTAGCTAAAGGTGGCGGCAATTTCGCATTAAGCATTTCTAAAATCTTCTATTGTCCACTTAAAGAAAAAACTCTGTCGGCTCTTGACTGCTATCGAAAAAGTGAATCGTTTAATGAGGAATTACAGGGTCTTGAGACCCAAAATGCTGTGGTTTCCAAACCGAAAATGGCGAAATTACCATTGGATGATTTGATTCGTGTGTTTTGGCCTGTTAATAATTCATCAATGCGCTCTGTTATTCAAAAAACATCAAGCAGACAACTCTCTAAAGAGAAGTCCTTTCCCAGCCCATATCTTATCATCTAGATTTATCTTATCATTTATACTTTGCCAAATTTCAAATGTTATTGATTGTATTACTTATAGACCTTAGATGAATTTTACAGTAGATAGAAAAATTGGGTCCATAAACACACAAAACCTGCTTGCATAAGAAATTTTTCGTTTCTTCGATCTGCCTTTACCGATTTGCCCTTCTGTGAACAAAACGTAACGAATTCTGGACTTATAAAAATTAAAATCATATATAAAATTCTATCTAAAGGCCATCACAGGGCGAAACGCATATTCGCTTTAAACTGTATAAAGCATATGATTTCTAGCATATGATTGGTATATTGTCTCGATAAAATTGTATACGCAAGCAGATTTTCCCCATAGCATCTTCTGTTGATCAACAATCTAGAAACTGAATGATCTGTGCAAAGATCATCATACGATTTATACATGTCCAGGTTCATCATACGATTTTATTCCAATTACCGATTCTGTAAAAACTAATTTTTGTTGTCGTATTAATAAAATTTTACCGGAAAAGCTTTGGCTAGACAATTGACATAATCAACGAAAGGACAGGGTTGGCGGGATCTCAAGGAGCGTGTAATGGAACAGGCCAAGAGCTACAAACAAATTACAATCTGGAGGTATATTCATAATATACCAATGGTTTATAAAAAGCAGGTTTTTGGTAGATAATATCCTGTCTAGCCAGGAGAAAAGAAAATTAAGCTGACCATCATATCTGGCAGTGATAGAAGGAAAAAGAAATAGAGAAACTCGAATTGATGAAAAACGATACCCTAGTGTGCCCTTTCGTAATGTTGATGAATTGCCATGGCAAAAGTTATCGAGGTAGGCACACGCACGTATAACCAAACAACATGGAGTAGCTTGAGTTATATATCGGCATTGCAATGCTTAAATTTTCCCAGGAGCAAATCATAAAAAACTCCTTTCGTGGAAAATTCTTATTATCTGAACATCCTTAGAGATCCTTTTGTTTTGGTAGAACTCTCGTGAGTTATTTTGAAAAGTGAATTGCTCCTCTACATGGTCAATTCATATCCTTATCATTTGTTTCATAATCAATTCTTTATGCAGACAACTTCCGATGCCTCGAACCTCCAAGAAACCAATGGAATGGTCTGAGATAGCGAATTTTCGAGTTATCGGTGGAGAGAGCAGGGGGTGCTATATGAAAGTATTTGGCAAGGGGAATGCAATATAAACTCGACTTAGCGAATTTTCGAGTTATCGGGGGTTCGAGTTATCGGGAGTTTACTGTATTTCCTTGTTTAAGATAAGGCAGTCTGCAATGAAGATGTCATTAAGACAATTGTATTCATGTTTCGTGCTTTGGATGGTTTATGCCATAAAACAAATAATACAAAGACTTGCCAACAGAAACTTTCGCTCTTTCATCTGCTGTGAGATTGAATACATTATCCTAAAAGAAAAAAAGATTAATCAAACAGTTTATTCCAGCTTACTCGTTTGTTCATCATTTACAATTGACAAACGCTTTCTTCCTTGACAAAAATGTCAGAAAAAAGAGAACATTTATAATCCATTGTTCCTTCAAAGTTACCAATCAAGGTTACCAAGTCGTAAGGCTACTTGTGGTTAATTCGAATATGTAAAGACAGTTGTTATGAGCATTTGAAGATATCTTGACTGAATGGGGTTATCTTGATTGCTGGTTCTAAGGCAAAAATTTACTTTCAGAACGTTTCAGTGAGCATAAAGCTGAGTGTAGAGAAATGCGTGGGTTAAATCGATGTAGAAGTGAAGAAATCCAAAACGTCATAATCATGAATAAATAACTACTCCTCGCAGCTTTACTTCCAAAAACCGCGATTTTTATCTTGTTTCCAGTAAATAATAAATTATGAACTGTTAATTGTCGAAACCTGCAGGTACAAGAATCATAAATTACGTAAATAAACGTAGATAATGGAGGAAGTCCTTTTGTCTTGACTTTATACACATGCTCGAATATTGGAAGGGTCTAAGAGACAGACGCATAAAGACTTGCAGTTTAAGATAAAGCAATACACCCAAAGTCTATCATAAAAGGATGCTTTCAAACACTTAGAAATATATGTAGATTTCGAAAGCACAGGTAGATGTTACAACAAAACAAACATTCTAATAACCATACCACAAAAAGTATAGGAAAGTGGAAGCATCTAAGATTCACAAAAGCTTTCTCTAATTGTTATCATAGAACAGGCCAATTCATGTTGACAATGTTGTCACAACCCGCTTTACATAAAAACCTTCAACATATATTTCAAGAAGATGGTGTCATACTACATTGAATCGTGCCTTAAATCAGACCTGCTGAACTGTACATTGAAGCATACAATAACCATATGGCTCAGCTCATGTCAAAGAAACTAATACTGAGCCTTGGTTGTTGGATGACAATTTTAAATTTGCAGTATCAACAAAAGTCATATGTTAACCAAAACTGATAGCAGTTATCACTGTGTGAGTTGCAGGGGATGATAGACAGGTGTCACTTTCAAAGGGAGCTGCTACTGAAATTAAGGGGGCACAAATGGTTTGTCAAGAAATAGAATTTGATCCTCACTTTGATGAAATATTCTACAAAAAACAATATAATCCCATATTTATGGCACAGTCATCCCAAAAATTAAAAATCTTATTTGCATAAATCATTGGCTTGATATCAATTGATAACCTTTATACCAAAATGATAGAAAACATTGGCAAAATGGCAAAAAGGCAAAAATTACATGAAATTCTACAAGCCTTTCATTAAGGATTTTCATTAGAACGTTGATTAGGTTCTGAGTTAAAACTTACAGGGTTTGAATTCAACTTTTCAAAAGAAACTTAAATGGACTTTCTTTTTGTAGCTGCAAATTTCAATGTCTCTCAAATAGATCAGAAAAAGGCAAACGCTTGTGACATTTTGTTCTCAGAGGGAGGTTTGCAAAAATATCTTATTTTTTGAATGTGGTACATGAGTGAAAACATTTCAGCTGAATGAAAAAGTCACATTAAACAGATCCACAAACATTAGACCCTGAGGATTCCAAGGCATACCGTAAAGACCAGACCCTAAGACCTAGGACCCTCAAGCACTAAAAAAAGGACCTTAAACACCAGAAGGGTCTTCACCCCGATAAGACAGTATCTGAGCACAGTTAACTGTCATCATTGCACCATCATTGCACCTGGTTCTAAGGGTCTTAGCGTCTGGTTTTTAGGGCATGCTGAATTCAATTGCAGTTCTTGATTTGCTTTGAATGGTAATATTCAAGATTTGCAACTTTCATTACAAAAGATATTGCAAAGAAATGATTATATATAATTTCTTAATATTAGCTAAATTTTTAGATTTTGTTGGTATAATATAACCAATTTGGTTAATATCTTTCTCTCAATTTTAAAAATGTTCTTCAAGCAAAAATTTTTCAGCTTTGTTCTAAGGAAAAAAAACTTACATAAAACAAGATTTCATCCACAAATAATAAACAACAAGACACTAACTTAAATCCTGGAATACCGGACAGAATGTATGTATGACTTCAAGTAGCAAAACATTCGCACTGCTATCTACTAAAAAGATAACATGACCTAATCTAGCATTCCTCTCGAGTGACAAATTTGATTTTGAAGCTTCATAAAATATAAACTTGTCTTTTCGACTTCTAATTGGCTTAAAAGCAATTACCATTACATTACACACCTAGGTAATTATTATTCGTACCTTTTTAAATTGATTTTTAAATTTAGTCCATATGTCTATCATGGCTGTATACAATAGACTTAACTTTGTTAAATTTGGTTTTACCATTGTATGTTTGAAAAAAAATCAGACCTTTTAAGATTTACTAGATCAAATCTTTGAAGTTTATCATACGTAATTTGAACTCCTTCTGAAGCAAAATGTATAAAACAAACACCAACCACAAACAGTTACTCACCAAGAGACCTGGGTCAGAGTAATAGTAAGTTTCAACATCAAGATGAAATTTATCCATGAATGGACAGGTTGTGCGTGTCTTTGTGTATGGGTATGCATTCCAAGCTTCTTCTTCAACTCTTAAAGCTGTTTTTGGTAAAAAAGCCTTCATCCAGCCAGGAATATGACTACCAATATGATATATCTTCTTTGTGTATTGCCCATTTCCACCAGGGCCATCTTTATATGGGACATTTTCTAAAATCTCCACACGACTGCTACTTCCAGTGCTTTCGTTTTTACTCTTTTTCTAAAAGAATTCAAGCAAGCAAACATCAGTAACTAGGAACAACCACTATCAGACGGATCAATCAAACTTAGATGATCATTCAAACTTAGATAACATATATCTTCAAACACAATAACTAGACATACTTCAACATTCAATGTTTAAAACCTTGCTAAGAACCTGCAATAAGCAATGAATTTCTTTAATTGGGGGTATCTGAAGCTATATATATATTAGAGTATGGAGTATGTGAAAAAAAATATTAGGCATATGAAGACTGGAAACTCCATTTCTTGCATGGACAAGTTCATTTAGAAAAAAGGAAAATGTTCATTTAGAATCTCACACATTCAAAATTTTCTGTGGTTGTGCTGAATGGCATTTGACTGCTAAATTGTTACTGCTGGTTGAGAATTTCATCCAACACCATTTGACCTTATCAAGAACTCAATACAATGAGCATGGAATTATTGATACAGATATTGTCATTCAGGGGTGTACCTTGACAATTTCGAGTGAGAGGGATGTAAATGAGTGAATTTACCGACCAAAATTCAAAATCCAAAAATCCATGAATGCCTTTGTTTCAGTGTGAATCAGTTTCATTTGTATGCGAATCAGTTTAATTTTAGTGCATGGCAGTTATAGGCCACTGCACATATCACATCAGCCTACTTGTGAAATTCTCGGTTCCTTGGGCGTAGAGTCATCCTTCTTGTTGCTCATTACTTCTTTGATTTAGGTTGGACAGTTTTTGATACACACCAATATGCTATAAAAAGTCAAGATAGGCATCTACCGACAATCCATAACATTTACCGACCATCTGTAAAATTTACCAACCAACTTTCCCAAATAGTGGGGGTGGGGGTGGGTGCACCACCCCTGACACCCCTCTGTAGGTACCCCCCTGTTGTCACTTGTTATTTACCCATAAATGTGGCATAGCTGTTATGGCATGATGGGTTATCAAGGACACAGGCTTGTGCATCTGTTGTCAAACCTAAGAAGGCATTTTGCTTGACCAAAATGCAAAAGCACACAGATGGGAAATTTGTGTGCATGGAAAATATATATATCGCAGGCAGACAACAAGGCTGGGGGTTTATAAATAATATGTTTAATATTATGCACCTATTTCCTCTGCCTGTAAATGAAGCATACTAATAAACGGTGGAAGAAATGCCTAAGACGGTGGAAGAAATGCCTAAGATACTACTTTTAATTTTCAGCTATCTTGTTGGAACTTCAACTTTTAAATCATTTCATTATATATCCTAACAGAAAGATCAACATTGAAAATTGCATTGATTAGACTTAAAAGATTCTCCTAACATACAAAATGGAAATCCAATATAGCTCAATATCCATTGCGCCATAAACTTGATAAAGCCAACTTAGCTCACAAGACATTAGAGATTAATCGATACGATAAAAAAATATAAGGAGCTTCAAACAAGAAATCAAAGGTCATCTTGCAGGTAACTCAGCATAAACTCTCTCTAGCCATTGCCACTAGCAACCTGATTACAAACTTTTACTTTAACTTGATCATCTTATCATTTCAAGCACCTGCTTTTTAAGCACGATACAAAGGAGACATAATGCACACCACCATGGTTGAAAACGATCTACCGAAACAGATGTCGGACAAATATAAATCATTTTCTATGGCAGACTCCTTCCATATTCTGCCAAAACTTAACAGACTATGTATAAACAAATCTTCTTTAAAATTCTTTTACGCTTTCATCTAAAATAGCCTATCAAAGGATGCTTTGCATTTCATAATGCAAGATGAAACTGGCAGTCGGCAATGACGTTCAAGGATCTTCATAAAAATATAAAAAATGAATCACAGGAAAACTTATATTTTTAAACTCACCATTATTGTATAAAGTTGCGCAATTCTGTATTCCTCAACTGTGAGTGGAAGGGGAATTCTGTATTCCTTTGTTAAAACCATTTTCTCTAAAGACGCTTTACATTAGACACAAATCTTCCTGCTGGACATGTATGAAGGCTACCTACAGTAAATTCCTTTCAACAATAGCCGAATCATTTTCCTCCAGAAATTCTGACAGCTGTGTCGTTCCCGAAACTAGTGAAGCTCTCGTCCTTATATTCTCAGCACCATCGGCAATGGACACAGATAAGCATTTTATTGGATTTCTTCGCCTGACAATTGTCGTTGCTGCATTGTCACTAGGAAAGATCTGCCATCTTTAATTTAATCTCCAAACAACAACACAACGGGGCACGGGGGAATCGAACATCTGAAAATGCTGCTTCGCAGAAGTAAAATACTCTCAAGTAATTGCCCCCCCCCCACTAATTGATTTTTGAAAATTTTTCCGCCCACCATACTTTCACTCCGACCCCCAGTCACTAATTCTTAAAAAATAGATTGTGAACATAACAATTGTGAAAGATAGTGAACATAACAATTACAAAACATCTGTTAAGATTACTGTAGCAAATATGGATGCGTTGTATGGGCTTCATGCAAAAATTTAGGGTCATAGACATTTTGGCAAGCCAGCAATTCAATTTTTTGAAACTTGACAAGAACCACAGGCCTTGCGATTTCTTTTCGGAAATAAAGCTTCAAATTGAAGCAACAAAGCTTCTCCTAAGTCAGGGCTTCCAAGCAAAATCAACACCTGCAAATTAAAACAGGTTATTGTCATGTTTGGAATTTGCGACACTCAAATATACGGGAATTATTATATTCTTCGAAATGAAAAGGATTACAAGACAAAGGAAGACAATAACATTGTTTCATACATTCAGTGAGCTTCATAAATATATAATGGTTAAAACATAGAGTGCTTTTAAAATACAGAATAATAAAATAAATGTATGTTTTTCTTTTAATTATGATACTGAAATAATCTTAAGTGCTTGAATAATGGTAGATGAGAAAAAACGATGAAAAGACGGCAGTTAATTGCGATTGGAGGGAGGAGTTGAGATTCGAGCATAATTTCATGAATGGTTGGGATCTTTTGATTTGTTAATAATCTTACAAAAATAAAAGAGAACAGTAATCAGGCACCGAAGAAACAAAAAACAGTCTAGCAAAACTGTTAGTAGGCCTCCCGAGCTGATCATGGCGGGTCTGTAACAGACAAGCAGGAAACATAAACAATTTGAAAATTAAGCAGGAGATATTTTTGGTCAGCCCCATTGGCAGAAAGCAAGTATGCGTTAATTTGTATTTCTCTCAAGTCCAAATCAAGTCATATGATAGAATGGATAATTTCGCACAAAACCATTTGTTCAAACTCGAACAAGGTTTTAATATTAAGGGCAGATCACTCTCTGTTATTCAGGGGATAAAACATGCATACCCTCAAAGCATGGACTAACTACACGTCTATGCTGCAATGGCTTTCCAAAAGCATTTCGCAAGAAAATTCTGTGAGCAAACTGTTTCTTCTTTTATTTACTCAAATCCATCACCAACTAAGCAAGTGGGTTCCCTGCATGCCTGTCAAAGGCAACAAGGACCAAAGAGTAGAAACTGACAGATAAATATCCCATAATGAAGGGCCTTATAGTTGCAAAGCAATGATATTCGGGGGACTAGAGATTCAATTCATGGCGTAAAAACATCTGCAAAAATAGGTAATTTTTTGCTGCAAGAACAAGCTCTGTTCTAACATAGTCGTGGTTCGAAATATAAAATTGTATAGAACAAAACATGTCGAGAGTACAATCTACGACACTTGAATTGTTTCAAATTTTAACGTTATTAGATTTTTGTTTTTATAAAAAAGACAAAAACAATGTTGTTAGACAAAGACTAAACTAAAAACAATTATATATTCATACTTTGCAAAAATATTATTTTCAGATCAAGTGTTAAAAACTGTGCGGTGCAAAAATATAAAATATCGATTGTCGATTGTCGTCCAGATTTCATTAATTGGTTTTTAAATATATGTCTACAAATTGAATCAAGTTTGTTGATGACAAGTATTGTATCCCCACGTGTGCTCACAACGATGCAATAGAAACGGAACCACCTAAGAACTCTAATCCTTTGGCTTGTCTTGCCTTGCGTTGGCTACTTTGGCGAGGCATGTTGCTGCAAGGGCAGTCCAGCCTGTTTGATGACTAAAAAAGCAAGAAAAGTCACAACATTACAGATAACAATTACAGAATAGCCATACAATTGAGTATGCCAAAAACTGACAGTAGTCTATGCAATGATAACCGTCAGCATTCACAGCTGTCTTTTTTCAATAAACCTACCCATGGAAGCAACGACAAACGCATTATAAAATTACCAAACACATACCTTGCACCACATCCCCTTCCGTTCTCTGCATCGAAAAACTCATAGAAAAGTACAAGATCGTTCCAGTGCTTGTCATCTTTATATCTTGCCTCATCCCCATGACAGGCCCTCTTTCCCATGTTGTCCTTTACGAAAAGCGACCCAAGGCGACGAGACAGTTCTACGGAGACATCTTTCAATCTCATTTTGTTTCCAGACCCAACTGGGCATTCCACAAGAAAAGAGTCACCGTAGAAATAATCATAACGTTCCAAAGCTTCAATTATCAACATGTTCACTGTAAGAAAACATCATTTATATTAAATAACAGTACCCTTGAAGACTCATTCATATCAAAGAGTAAGTCATAATAGTTTTTACATAGAAAGTTTAAGTTAACAGTTTCTCAAAGGACCCTAGAGTTCAAAAGCAGTCAACAAATTTTGATAAGCACGAGCCCCCTCCCCGAAAATTTTACAAGCCTAACTTACAACAAAACATAAAATAAATTTAATCTCTTTTTCTATTAGGGAGAAAAGGACCCTTACTTGGAAACCAGATGGGTCCTCTCCAATTACTGTTACCACCAAACAAATAAGTGTTCGATTCAGCTGGAATGTACTCTACACTGCCGACCTGCCCGTACTCTGCACAGCTGAAATGATACGGATTCTTCTGGTGATACTTGGACAACGACCTGATTCCATACGGAGAGAGGAATTCTTCTTCATCCAGCATATACTTCAAGACTCTCTCGAGGCGATCACGTGATGGGACAGCCAGAAGATGATTGTACTCAGCGCCAGAACTCATATACGAAATCTAGATACATGTAAGTCGACATTAATTATAAAGAGGTAGAAGGGCAGCATTCTCTAAATAAGGGTGCATGGTAGCAAGATGCCTTTAAAGTAGTTCTAGAAAGAAAGATATGTATGATTGTTATTTAGATTCATCATATTGTACCGCACGTATTTTAGTATAAAAAGAAAGATGTTGCGAAACGTCAAAACAAAAATGTGGAAAGGTTTTCATACTTTCAGTTGGAAGCATTAACGCAAAAAGTATGGGGGAAGTCTATGACATGAAAGAAAGAAGGCACCAAGTGGCCCTCTTAAAAAGTTCTTTCTTTTAGATAAACCTAACAACACATCGATGCAATGAACGATATTGACAGGGTTTCTAATGCAAACAGCGTTTCAATAAGTATCTAAGAAAGCTTAAAGCATTTATATATATAAATATATATAGCGGATAGAAATGCAAATATATGTTTGCTTGTTTGCATCACGACAAAGCGGGGCCTAGATGTTTAAAAAATGAAATTTGAAAATTCATTCAAATAAACATAGATGGCTAAATCACCTGGGATGCTAAATCTTGCCTGTTCTTCAAGAACCAGTTCAGTCTCTTTCTGAAACCTGGAAGTTTCTGAATAATTTCATCTTCCAAAACATGACAAGCGAACAAGGGAACAAGGCCGACCATTGATCGGATTTTTAGTGGGACCGAATGGCTGCCAAATCTTACATGATCATAGTAAAAGCCATCCTCTTCATTCCAGAGGCCGCAGCCAGAAAACTGGTTCATGGCATCGACTATTGCGATGAAGTGTTCGAAGAACTTCGATGCCATATCTTCATATGAAGGATCTTCTACTGCCAAATCGAGAGCAATACCGAGCATGATTATTGAAAAAAATGCCATCCATGCAGTTCCGTCAGCCTAAAATAATCAAAAGCAATTGGATGCATCAAATCGGCATAAGAATTTAAAGGTAGGAGCAAAATGACGGTACTATTTAGCACGCTATAGATTTTTTTAGAAGAAAATACACTGCACAAAAATGACAATTTGGACAGTAAACATTGGACCGTATGCATTTTCATAGCAGGTATGATGACTCTGTAGTCAGCATACTTGTCCTCTGGTTGCAAGTTTTAGTCGAATCTCCAATGCAGAGTTGGGCATAACCCATCACTTTTGCGTACCCACCCCTATTAATTTTGTCATTAGTTAGAGTTGGTATGTAAATTTAAGAATAAATTATTGCTAGCAACCATAGACCACCATCAATAAACTAAACCAAGGTAGCACTGTCTTTTAAAACTGTCAAACTCGTAACAGTCATGACTAGTTCGGTGAAATGAAGCAGCAATAAAGAAGGCTTAAAATAGGCATCTAGCTGAAAAGTTTTTTTGCAGATGTTTTGCATATGAAACTCTTCTTCTTTTGTAGATACAGATTCAGAAGAATATTTATACTACAATAAATCTAGACAAAATAGATATTCATTGAAAGGAACAGAAAGAAACGCAAAACGCCAATCTTACAATGAAGTAAAGAACTGCATAAAATAAGTCAGGAGTGTTCTTGTTACATGTTGAACTAAAAGGTGCTGAGGATAGGATCTAAAATGGCAAGTTTTGTAGGTCCACTCCGAACGAAAATTGCTGACATTTTCTACCCACTATAAATCAATGGCAATATTTACTGGAAAATTTATCCAAGAATACATGATCCAAAGTCTTGGCATTTTAGAGAAAAGATACTTTTGTCACTAAGAAGAGGGTGGGTTGTATATTCTTTTTAAGTCCCCACAGTGCTAGCCTACGCCGTAAATGCAAGCCGCAATAAGATCAACATGACGAAACAACGGTCCAATGTCTGATTGGCTAAATTGCCAAACTGAAACAAAGAATCTGATTGGCTTTATAACCTTATATATAAAAATATACCACATATTTAATATCAATGCAACACAACTGCCTGGCTGCCATCTAAGCGACTTTTTGCTTTCTTGTACTTCAAGCTTTGATAATTTAACGGAAAATGATATGTCAACGTTATGTTTGAGTTATAGAAATCGTTCAAATAAAATTATCACAATAAAAATCTAAGAACCATTGTAAATGTTCTATGGTTTTGAAGTAACCTCAACTTCGTGTCTATTTTGGTAAAACTTGCTATGCTTGGCTAGTGTCCCTATAATGTTCATACTTTAGCTTGAGTTGTATGTCGGTCTTCGGTCCATAAAAAAAGAAAGCGTGTAGTACTTAGGTGGATGCGTGGTAGGATTTGGAAACAAGATGAATTTGCTGCATTGAAGGCCTTTTACAAATAACAGATTAAAAATCTTAATTTTGACTTAGTAATCGGTTGTGAAAACGTCAACTTGGTTAACAAACTGTGATTCTGGGATGAAAATTAAATTGTAATTGCTGCTGATAAGACAACAGCTAATCTTGCGATTAGAGTTCAGAAAAATGTTTATTGTTCCACAGGACAAGCTTTGAAGGCTTTCCTCAGAAAATAAAGGAAACATGAAAAAATAAGGCAAAGCAACAAAATTACGAAAACATAATCGTTTGCGTTTCCCAAGACAACGATAAGTATTGGAGAAAATATATGGTTCTCAATAGAATCATTTCATACGTTTTAACTTACCTGTTCCAATTGCATGCCAGCTGGCAATGGACGAGATCGATCAAATACACCTAAAACACAAAAAGGCTTTGTCAGAAACAATCATGATCTACTGTGATTCTTCAGGCTGGCACAACAACAAAATCATCGTATTACTTGAAAAAAGCTATTTTCATCACACATTTTTAAAACGAAGTTCCTTTGAGTATACAACAGCAGTGTTTTATTGTTTTATTTTCCAATTTTTCTCCCTAATACCCTCAATTTTGCCACCCCCCTAAAAATGCTGAACTTCTACATTTTCAAAACCAAATTTTTTTAAAAGAGGAAAGGGGAGGGTTGATTACGTTCTTCGAAATTACGTTGTTCAGCATTTTTGGGATGAATTTTCCAAATTGTTTGGCGTGTTTAAAAGTGGCCAAACTTTATGCTCAAATGGTGAGAGGAAGACGGTTTTACCTGTCAACTGAACCATGTTTTAGAATTTCAATTAAATAGTGAGAAAACAGTGAGAAAATATGTGTAAAAATTGATTGGCATTATCGACATGCAACGTGAGGTAATATTTCAAGATGCGAGGAGAATAAACTTTGTATAGAAAACTAGTAATTACGGTACTTACAAAAGCCTACAACAAAAATTCTCGATTTATAAGGAGAACTTTCTCAAATTTTATTGATGCTACTGTTATAAGGACATTAGAAAAAACAAAATAAGTAAACTGTCAAACATCTTCTTATATAAGCAGAGCTTAGTTTGCTTTCAAGCTTGTGCAAAAAAGGTTTTGCGACACAACAAAATTTTGTCTTGGCTTTCATATAGTGCTTTTATGTAGTAAATAGGGTATTAAGTCTAATTTTGCAACGTTTGTATAAAAGAAAAGCTTTTTCTACAAAGATGAAATGATATACACTCTTTTTTTTATAAGAAAATTTTTACAAGAACACGAGCCTCAAAATTGGTAAAAAGTTAAGAACAAATTAAGAGCAAGCTAAGGCTGAGCTTCCGCAAAATGCAATTTGAAAAAAGTTTTCTCTCAAAATCGAGGATTATTAGCCATGTGCTTTTTTGGTGAATATTCAAATTTGTCGACAAACGAAGGCTGCCTTCTTCACCTTTTGGCAAATGAAGCCTGAACACCTCCTTAGAGTGATAAACTAGGAATCGCACTGCTTAAGAACAAATTAAGAACAATCGAGGCTCAGATTTTCGAAAAAAGTAAGAACAGTCAGCCTGAAAGTAAGAATGCTCAGCAAACTGTGGTAATTCGGTTAGAGATTCATTTTAATATGGGAGAACGAAACATGAAAGCTACCTACTTATTGACAGTAAAGCTATACTTAGCTTATGGTTAAATAAAGGTGAGTGCAGGATTCAATGTAATTTCCTGAACTCAACAAGCTTATATGCATTTTTCATTCATCCAAAGAGTTTTTCTCTAAATTTCTTTCATAAATAATTTGAAGCATTTTACACAGCTTTTCATATTTTTTCTCATAAATATTGACACAGCACCAGCTAAGCAAATGTTAACACTTTCACCAAGCTTTTGTCAGATCATTAAGGCTAATTGCAAGACAAAAACGTAGCAAACAGGCACCATGTAAAATGCTCTCCGAAATATTCAAAGGGGGGAGGAGTGATAATTTACACAGTCTATGAGATAAGCATAAGCCATGGCCTCTTCTTCATCTAGCTTTCTTGTCGTGTCATGTTTATCTAGCTGACTTTTTAACGACAATACAAGCAACGGTATGAACTAATGTAATACAGACCAATGTTATCTAGACCAAGAAAGCCGCCGCTGAAGATGTTCTTTCCATCAGGATCTTTCCTATTGACCCACCTGTAATTCGAGACATTAAGTGAAATTCTTTTACTGACATTCATTTGAAAGGAAAAGTGCGAAAGATAATAGAACTACAACAGATGAGGCTTCTTTGAATTTGCTGGGTAGATGATAGACATTGACCCATGACAGATCACAAAGATCCAACTTCTTGTTGTTCATCTCCAATTTAAAAATACAGGTCAATTAACAGTTAAATGACAGAAAGGGCAACGACTAAAAAAAACTGAATTAACAGCGCTAGAAATAACTCGTGGTTATTTATTTTACAGTTTCCCTATCCAAATCTGTACGTTTTTACAAGAAATGGCAAGCTTCTCAATTGGTATTATTAAATGCGAGTGCCCCTTTTAAAGCTCAAGTGTGTAAAAACAGGCTGCAATCAATAATGGGCCAAGAGAGGTTAAATAAATGTTGAGCTTGTATTAATTGACACTCAGTTATGATGAAGTAATCAGAGAGTTTGCTGACACACCAGTACTAAGTTAGATTCTTAAGATATTAATTATCAGTCCTGTTGCGAGTTTTACTGTACATCACATATACTGATAATTGATGATTATGAATATCAAATGTTTGAATGCGGATGCTGGCTTTCTCTGACCGACTTATTGAAATCAGTAAAAGTGATGCTGCAAAAAATACATATTGTTTGTCACGTCTTTTTGCATTTAAAAACTGCGCATGCGCTAGATGACGTCATAACGTTAATGTAAACATGATGTCGGAAAATGAAGCTGTGCCCCCCCCCTAAGAGTCACTACCCATGACGCCCCTGGTAAGTGAGTGAATATGGCGAATACCTCCCTAAGAGTCACTACCCACGACGCCCCTAGTAAGCTAGTGAATATGGCGAATACCTCCCTAAGAGTCACTACCCACGACGCCCCTGGTAAGCGAGTGAATATGGCAAATAAGCTTCACTAGGGCAATGCAGATCAACATTGTCAAATATCAAGCTAACGACTCTTCTATATAATATCTAGAGGTATGGAAATCTGTGCTATAAACTCTTAACGATATACCAAGCTGCAACTAGGATGTAAGTGTGCGCATAAAATATCACACGTGACAAAGAAAATACATCTCTAGTTTTCAAGGTGTACACTATACTCAGATTTGAATCCGTTGATAAATGTTTCATACGAGAGTCTGGCTTTTTTGAAAATGGGTGTATTGAAATTCCCGAATATCAGCCCCTAATATTCAACATTAACATTTCATAGATTCAAACAAAGCTTTTCTTCCTTACCATGAAGTACCAAAATATAAACTGCTGTCGCCAGCTTTTGCAGCGCTTACCATGTGAAATTCATAATGAGCTTCTGGAACACTCTAGCAAGGAACACATTATCCCTCTCTCCTTTTCTGCCCGTCATTTTGTACAATATATGAGCAGCTACACCGTGAACCGGAGGATTTACGTCACTAAAATTGAATTCATAGGCCGGGATTTGTCCGTTTGGTGCCATGTACCATTCCCTTAGGAAGAGCATCAGCTGATCTTTGGCAAATTGAGGGTCTATCACTGAAAACGGGATCATGTGAAAAGCCAAATCCCACGCAGCGAACTGAAAGAAAAAAGAAACAAAATCTTGGTGAAATAGTTAGTTTTTCTATCGAATTCGTGGTATAAAATAAATAATGTCACAGCAACTCTAAACTTGCAAGTATGCGGAAATTATTGAAGACCATGACCATCGCGGGTGAATTTGACAGAGGTGATATAGGCGTGACCGTGTCTCCAAAGGTGTGGCCTTAGAGTTTATTCTTCAGTGAAGCGGATATTTGGTAGATTTGCCAACGAAAGTAGCAATTCGCCGATAAACCCTTGTTCCAGGGGAGTGTTTTGTCCCCGCGGCCCCCTGTCGCGGTTGCCCGGCTGAAGAAACAACCTTTTCAAACGATTTCAAGCTCTGCAATGGACTTGCTACAAGTCTCTCTCTCTATTTAGTAATCTGAACAATAAAGAAAGAAAGACAGGAGAGTAAGAGGGAAAGAGGCTAGCGTTATGCGTTACATAACCCTTTACAAAATGCAAGCAAATTATATTAATTAAATTTTATCATATAGCCTGCCATCAGATAAAATACAGCCATGTGAGAGTTCGATAGTTCTTTTTTCTTCAAGATTTTAAACTCCAAACAAAACGTTGCTGGCTTTTTGCTACTGCCAGCATGAAAATGAGTATTCGTTGAAGTTAATCTATTTTGAAAATTTATCTTTAACATTGAATTCTCGTCGCCGTTTTGCTTTGTTCCTGAATTTTATCCTCGTATTATATTATACTCATTGCAAGATTCACAGAATCCGGCGGACAGCCTATACTGCGATTCTTCCTTCTCACACATGACAATTAATGAACGGGTTTCGGGGAATATTAGAGATGCACATAATATGAATTTTTCTGCTGGTTTGCACTGCTGAGGGAATTATTAAGGTACGATTGTATAGAAGATTTGGAACATATTTTGCTGCTTTGCAATTCTTATAGGACAGAGAATTTAAAACAGAGCTGCAGTTTCTCGTGAGTTTTAATGGCAGGTACATTTTATTATTGATGACCATCCATCCCCCCCTTCCCCCTCCCCTAGTCTGAAAAGGTCAAGCTAGGCCAGTGTACATTGTAACTCTTTTATTGCTCGCGTTGCTCTCATTTTTGTTACATGTAATGTCCATTGATTAGTCATGCTATTTTGCTCCCAGTTGTATTGTTATGGTAATTTTGTATTCTTTTGAAAATAATAAGATTTGTAAAGAAAAAAGGAAAAGTAGAAAATAAACTATGCGTTAGTAAAATAAGATTAACTAGATTTGATAAAAAATGTACGTGAAATTGAAGAGAGACAGCATACTACAACTGGCTTAGTCTAAGGGTTGGTATCAAATGTAAAAAATAACATGGATTAAAGAAGGTCGAAGGAACAATTCGTGCGATAGAAGCATCTTTTAGACTCGGATACTTCCTCTTTCTAAAATCAACTGGATGACTCGGGGCCTAAAAATACAAACTTGGTAACCACTGAATAATTTATATTTTATTCATTGAAATAATTTAAACACAATGAGGTCATTTTGTTTTCCTTCATAATAATTTCCTTCACAATAATTGTTATAAGGTATCTTTTAAGATATTCGCTTGTGTTTCAAAAGCAACACCAACGCTTCTTCGAAATTACGTCAGGCTGGGTGGGATGATTAATAGTTACCAACCTTTTGGTGGTATAGAATTTAAAAATGGCTTTTGAAACGTGTTGAGAAAATAAAACCGTTAGGATCATTATTAAACGCTCAGGCTACAGTGCCGGACAAAGATGATCGAGATTTTAGCAAAAACACTAAATTTTTTTCAAAAAGGTAAAAAAACCTGCCCCAGCCCTAGTCTCTACCGTTCAAATTTGAAGATAATTGAATTTGACTTCGATGCTGTGGCTACAAGCCCACATTGAATTAGGGATATGGGAGTAAGGTAGTTTCTGTTCCAATTATTTTCTAGCATTTTCAAATTATAGAAGTTTGTTTCGACACTTATCATAACTTAACTTAACGTGGGTATTTACTTCTGTATAACACTTAACATAACAAAATTGGAGATGTAAACAGAAAAAGCAACTGCCTGGTCCAGAGTCACCTTGGGGACGAAAAAGGATAAAGTGTGACGCGTGCAACGATTCAAGCGAGAGAAATCTCTGGTTTGAACTTCCTTCCGCGAATATGACGTCTGCTAAAAGTTTACTGAAATTTTTAAGTCTAACAGGTTTCGCTGTGGTGTCAGTTTTCTAGTGGATTGACAATACTATCGCAGTTTCCAACACGGGAAAGCACTCTGGCATCCTAAAATTCTTTGTCAACTTTCCCTTCGTCAGTCACCATAACTGATTCTTCTCCCTTTCAAGATAATGTAAGTACTCTTATGGCATCCCCACAAGGATGTTCAATTCACTCCTCAAGCTTCAGAAATCCTAGTTATAAAGAAACAAACAATTTAGAAAACCAGTGAGACAGAATTTTTCGGCTTTTTTTTTGCCCATCTACGACACAAACGGCAATGAAATGCTTCCTGAAAAACGATTACAATGAAACGTCGGGTTATATATCTTTACATTGTTAGCTGGCATCAGCAGAATCGTTTGGCGATCGACAATAAAACAATCGGAGGTTAGTTGAAACAAAGGGGATATAGTATAGTTACGAGAAGGGTCGTGTTGCGCACATGCTCAAGTGAAGGCGGAAGTTTACGAAATAGCAACGTTGACAATATGGCAACCAGCGCTGGTGTTTAAAAGCAGACAAGTTGCTCGAAACCAAGGATTCCGCTATTGCAATGTGTCTCGTGTGTTTGCCACCAGCGACCGGTAAAGCGAACCGCAGTTATATTCATAAATTTTAAACTGTGAAGGAATCAATAACTGACGCCTTGTAACGGCCTAGGCACTGCCTCGATCAATAGATATTGAGGAGTTTGATTTTCAGCACTGCATATAGAATCATGGCTCCAGAAGGTGAACCAGAGCCTAAAGGCGAGTTTTCAACGCCGGGACCCAAGCCAGAGACTTTGATTTTCAGCACTGCATATAAGATCTTGTCTCCAGAAGGTGAACCAGAACCTGAAGGCGAGTATTCAACTCCAGAACCCAAGCCAGAGAAAGCTCCTTGGGGAGAACCAGTGCCAGAATGGAATATAGCAAAGATGAAATGGGGTTATGCCTGGGAGGGACACTGGATTGGCATGGCGGTGCTTTTTGGAATACTAACCGTAATAGCGGTATTGTGCTTGCGGAGAATTTTCGTCAAGAAAAGGAAGCGCCAAGTAATGGCAAAGTTTGCAATAACAGTTACTGCGATTATAGCAGTTTTCACAACTGCGAGGTTTTTGTACTTAATAATAAACCCATACGAATCGGATTATTGCATGTTTGGAAATGCGAAACACTGTCCACTGTTCGTAAACAGACTTTTATTCAGCATTGGATTGCCAAGCCTTTTGTCAGCGTATCTCCTACTGCATCTTGCCCTACGTGATGTGATGAAGTTCAAAAAAGTTGGAAAGTTTACAAAGCTGCAGAAATGGTGGTTTTTATGTGGGCTTGTCCTTTTGAATTATGTTTTTGCCATAACAGCAGACATGGTTGTTGCTTACAATACATCGACTGGGATATTCCTCGCCCTTTGTCAAGGGTACTTTATCGTATTTAGCGCTGTACTTGTTTTTGCGTTTGCGTACTCTGGCTTTCAAATGTATCGCACCGACAAGAAAAACAAGAAAGAAATGTTTCGCCTCAGCCGAAAAAACAACTCCAATGTCGATAATCTATCGCGAAAAAGTGGTCGTAACTTTATTGCGAAAGTATTGCGGCTATCTTTTATAACTTCCCTGCTTGGTCTTGTTCTGATGGCGTTACAGATTTACGCACTGGCGTTCGTCTACGTAGAAGCATCTACTGGTAAAAAACCGGAACCATGGGCTTGGCTAACCTACCAGTACGCCTATCGCTTTGTAGAAGTTGCCTTTGCAGCTTGCATTCTGTACAACATCTCTTACATACCGAAGCGTAAATCAGCTCCTCAAGGCACTGTGAGTAACAAATCCACCAACAGTCATTATCGACTCAGTGAGCGAAACTGCGACAGTCTCAGCAAAGAGGTGAACACAGTTTAATTGGGGCTGTTTGAGGGGACATTCCAACAAGTTCCTCTTTGCGTCTTTAAATCCACCCGCCGGGTATGATTGCCCATTACCCCTGCAGAACCGAGCGGTGTACCACTCCTTCCAAACTACGTACGCTATTATTTAGAACAATATAATTTTTGGGTTAAGAGGATCTTTCTCGAAAACAAAATGACTTTTGCTAAAGGCGTATGAGATTTACGTGGAGAACCACACTGTCCATCAGAGCTATATTGATTTCAACATAATCAAAGATAACATCAAGATATCTAAGGAGAAACATTTGTCAAATCTTAAAACAAACTGCTGTATAACAATCCAGTTTATTTCTATTATTTCAAAGTCATCGGATGATTGAAAGTAAAAGAAAAGTGTGAGTGTAATTAAAAATAGTAAGAGTGTGAATGTAATCATATGAATAAAGTGTATCAATGTTAATACGGGGAGTGGTTTTGTTCATTATAAATATCAAATCTGAAAAATGTTGCATTTCTGATCACACGGCCTTAAAATTAGCACAGAATTTCTCATAACAAAAATTTAATAACTCGCAATGCTGAAATTTTCTTAATTTTTATTATGATTGAGGCACAAAGCTTTTAAAATATTTATTTAATTTTTGGGTATCAAGAATCGTAACAGTGCAGCAATCCAATCACATGCGAAATTGCTGTTAAGTGTCAAGTTTCCCAGTAACGCTGGGAAATTATTGTTTAGTTTGCGTGACCAGGGCCGTCGAGGGGTTGCGAAGGCCCTGGGGTAAAACCGAAAGACGAGGCCCCCTTAGAGCGGAGCGAGAAGAAAATTTTTGCAAACACGCCCGTCAGATAAGCTTTTAACAATTCAGAAATACTTTCGCTACATTCTTAAATAATTACTTGTACGAGGCACCCTAGATTTAGAGGCCATGGGGGAATACAGAAAGACTACAGTGCTATTTCCTTCTCTTAATCGCAAATAAAATGTGAAAAGTTCATTTTTCTTACAAAAGATGTAATACAAGAAAACTATGCCTTCAACAACCCTACAGTCACAAGAAAAACATGCTAGTTTAGTTAAAGTATTGTTAATCACAGAAATTTTCATGTAAAGGTGTAACAATTGTAACTGACTGTTGCCTTGGCGATTATAGAACGCGGTAAAAAATTCTAAGCAAGTTAATCAAAAGGCAAATTGCCTTGTATAAACCATTTTCCTAGAAATAGAAAACTAGGGGATTGTAAACAGCAAATCTGCGTGCTCCTCTTCCATTTCGATAAAGTTATCAAATTAGGTTTTGCCGCCGGGGAAATTTCTCTTGCACCCTATAAAAAGGTTTGAGCCTATATTGCCCTCGAGTGCAAAATGTTTGCCCAATTTCGCGTTAGGTATGGGCATAAAAAAGCCTGATTTTGTCAGGGCAGCCCCTGATGGTTGCTTGATTCAACCCTTACATGACCACAGCCTGTGTTTTTTGGCGATTTTTACAGCACGTTTGATTCTTACGGTTCGCATCGTTGCTATTTCCGCAAATGTTTATTCTTTCTGCGATAGGAATGAATTCAAACAAGCTTTAAAGCTAGTTTGCTTCAAACTTGTCAGGTCAATATTCACTAGGACTTGAATACTTTTTAGAAAAAACGGTTTCTTGCGCAATGAAAGAAGTAATACTTAGGAAAACAAGCACCTGTTTTTACTGCTTGTGCAGATCTTTACTCAAAAAAAAACTAATTGAAAGCTAATTTAGAGCAGCAAAACACAGTAAAAGTCCGCATCTAATAAACAAACTTAAAGCAAACCAAGAATGACTTTTTCAAAGTTATGTATCAAAATATAAGAAACCGTTGAGCCAGGTTTTTTCCGAGTTTCTTATACGTTGTTCTAGAACAAAAGCTCGTGAAAGAAAATATGCGTAAGAAAGTTTTCAAAAAAATCATTATTATAAGAAACTGGTAAACTTTTTTTCAAAATTTATTCTGTTTACAAGAATTTGTACAATTATGATACAAAAAATGAAGTTCCTGCTATGCAAGTGTTTACCGTAATCAGAGAGATCTTTATGCTGTTGGCGTTATGTTTATGATGATGATGATGGTCATGATATCACCGTAATTATGATTATGATTATGGTTTAAATTTCGTCTGGAACCTGTCTACCCTGTTTTAATTAACTGCAATCGCTTCGAAAGGAAAGTCATCCATGGTTGCCCTTTCTAAAGCATCTTTATAATCTTATTTCATTAATGTTTCGTTATTGCTTCCACAATGATAAGTTTAATTTTTGGTAAAAAAAGAGTTGCCACAGATGTTAAACAACACAGTTTTGAAACAAGTGTTGCCTGGAGATGCTTCATAAAAACCAATTGTACGCTTGCCAATGTTTATAACAAAACTTAATCCTGGAACAAGAACATTCGCCTCGCCAACTTAATTATAGTTGCAAAGAATTACATGTACAAAAAAGCACAGCCTGCCAATAAATGGAGAGGGATTTCGAAAGATAATAACTTCAACAACAAGATCTTTGGATATTTTTCATATGAACCATGATTCGTTTCTGATTAGGAAACGCATTGACAGATCATAGTATTTGAGAGCAAGAGGCAGATTAGACTAACTCCATGAGCCTCTGTTTCGCGACTGCCTACAACAGAGCGTCAGTCAAATGAGGCAGTAGCAAAACAGAGGCTCATGGAGTAAGTCTAGGGGCAGATACATATATTTGTACAATTTTTTGGTAACCAACAAGGTGCATTCTCGTTTTCAAAACGATAATGTTTTTATGTCAGCAAAGACAAATCAGAAGTGTTGCGTCACAGAATTTCCTAAAAGCAGATTCTATCTGTTAATCAATTGTACTACTACAATGCTATGCAAAGCCGTTATTAACTGGCTTCAGAAACAATAAATAATATGTAAAGAAAGAAATCAAGGTTTTTAATTAAAAAGCAATAAGAACACTCCTGCCTCAAAATACCTAAAAAATTAAGAATACAAAGACTCAGCAAAGCTATTTGGCTTTTATTAAATCGATTGAATTCGAAAGCGACACATCTTCAAACCATGGTCTTTCCAAGGTATGCCACTAGCGAGGGAGTTTGAAAATATTAAACATTTTAGTCACAGACTCAATTTTGTTTTGAAGACGGGAGGGGGTAAAACACAAAAAAATGATTGTGATTTCATTTGAGAACGTATTCGTGTAGATTGGGCTTCAGACAGCAAGAAAAATGATGGAGCGTACACAAAGATTTTGGATATTTTCTATATGATGCAGAAATGGCTAGATTATCTAGCCATTTCTGTATCATATAGAAGTGTCCAAAATATATAAAGTTATCCTTGAGCTGTTTCTCGGCTTATCTATTTACCTCTTCCAACTAGCGAGGCTGGATACAAATTCACCAAAACCTTGTTGACTTTCCATTGAATTCAAATAAACAAAAAGATGGCTTTCCTTCTGACACGAAAGAAAAGAAAATTTCAGACGAAAGGCTTTTGCATATTGTCTTAAACCGTATTCTTTTTCCGAGCCATTTTTAAATTCGGCACCATCAATGAAACCAAATCGTTTTTTTTAGTGCGAAAAATGATACACAGGAATATAAAAATATAACGAAATCCTTCCCTTCTAATATACTCAGCTTCTAGTTTTGATCTAATATCTATCGCATAAAACAAAAGGCATTTCACATTTCAAAATATGCACATGTTCAAATATCAACAGGCAGTGCCCAAGCTGAGCCTAGGAAATCAAAATGGAGAGAAATTTGAATGAGAAAGGGACTCTCCTTTCCTCTTTCAATTTTCCTACTGTTCAAGTTTATAGGCTTCGGTACACAGAATAAAATGACAGCTGAAATAGCATGGGAATTCAGAACACAATCTGGAGATTTACTTTTGCGTGCATGAAATTAAGCTATTGTGCTAACTTTCTTTGGGTTATTGAAAAGTGTATCCTTAAAATAATCATGTTTTTGCTAAAATTAAGTAAATCGAAGGTTTTTAAGGATGGTTTGTGATTGTAAAGACAGATAATTTGAAACATATTTGAAAGAATCGTCTCAGTTGTTTTTAGATACACATCTAAAATGACACAGCTGCTCCTAAAATAACGCACCTATATCTACTAAAAATGTAGGCTATTCGATTGATCATGCAAAAATTTTCATCAATTTAGTTATTTACTCTATATTGTCTAAAGGAAATCCGAGCATGGTAATAGAACAGTGTCGGAAAATAACTGAGCACTGCCATTCCCTTGCTTCTCGTTGCTTTAGCTTTTGGACGCCATTCAATTGTTTTGGAAGAATCATAAGCACATTGCTACATCGATGCACAAATGAAACGGTACATAAAAAAAAGAAATTTGAACACTAATAATTGTTACAAGCACAGCAAAGAGACTGAGGGTTCTGTCGACTGGAGATTCGAGATCAAAATATGTGCTACATTGCACAGAATCAAACCAGCCCTCAGCACCCCTTGCTTCTTCTGCTTTTTCGGACCATGAATAAAAAACAAGAAGCCAGAGAAATGGCGCGTACCGTTATCTTACTTAGTCAGGAAGTTTTTTCTTAAACAGTTTTGCGAAATTACTTATAAGTGCAAAACAAAAAGCTAAAAAATAAATTCTAGCATACCCATGGGTATTCCCATTTGTCTGGCATTGAAATGACGTCACGGCTGAAGAGATGCCTCCATTCGAGGTTTCGGTTACGCGAAGAAGGGGGCTTTGGCTGGTCAGGGTCTCCTTCCAGCCAGTCGTTGATGACGTAATGATAAAACTGCTTAGTCCAAAGAAGGCCTGCATATGCCTGTCTGCTTACTAAAAGTTCTTCTTTTGTCGCATTTTCTGTGGGTCAAATGAAGCAACAGTATATGAGCTTGACTAAATAGGGGACCAAGTATATTGTCTATTCTTTCATTGAACGGAATATCACATGACCGAACACAGAATTACCAGAAAATTCAGTGTTGATGATCTGATTTAGTGTCCGTGTTTTCTATCAATAGAGCTACTGTGTAAAACCTTAATTTCTTTTCCCGGAATTCAAGGGAGTCAAAAAGAAACCAGTTGGGTTAAAGCATTTCTTGGACCTGGTAGAACACAAACAAGGTGACATGCACGCGAGATGACTATGCGTAGTTTTATATCTTAAAATATATAAAGTAGAATCCCGTTGTAACGTACTCGGTTATTACGTACTTTCAGATATAACGTACTGGTGTGCTTGGTCCCGGCAAAAGGTGTGCTTGGTTTTAATCAACTTTTACTTACCCTCGTTACAACGTACTTCGGATATAACGTACTTAATACGCTGGTCCCTTAAAGTACGTTATAACCGGATTATACTAATATGCCTGACAATGAAAAAGCTTCAAATAACAAATGAAAAGCCTAAGGCTAAGAGTTATCGTTCAAAAGGGTAAAAATGAATTACAAAGTAATGTCATCTAACATTTTACACAATTTACAGGCGGGACAATAAGTTCTTAGGGTAACCATCCCAGTCACCCTAAAATACCTGACATATCCATTAACCTTCTGTGTTTTTTTTAAAACAGTCACAATCCATTTAATTTTCATCAAACCCAGAAAAACTACACCTAGATCAATTTTAATTATTTTCAAGAACATCACACAAAAACTCATAGGAATATCAGTCAGGTTCATGGAATAAGTTGATTTTCTTAGTCCACCATATTCTGGCTAAAAACGAAGGCTTATCGTAGACCATTATATCTTCCCTCTGCCCTCAGTTTTATGATAAGTTTTAAGTTCACGCAAACGATAGTTACCTGGCAAGACATGAGAGTAGAAAGCATCAGCTTCTTTCTTCCTAGAATTGAAAACATCGTCAAAGTTTGCAAAAGGCTTGTCTAGCTGCTGACCATCTTTCATTAGCCTGCAGTGAATAGAATGGCTTTGACCAGCTTTCAATGTTATCTTGTAATAACCCGCGACCTTCGTTCCACGTTCCTTGGGTTGTATGGCATCCATTTCATTGTTGATCAAGTAACGGTGAAAGGCATCTTTGACATACGTCGTATAGTTGTCTGTGTTGAATAAGAGCTACAAGATATAAGTGGTTGAAAGGGCTTTAAAAATTGGTCAAATGCAAATCACCTTGGAGTTGTAGGAATCGTATTCCCAGAGTTCTATACCCTGTTACCATTTTTAAAGTCCAAAAAACATAACGGTTCCACGGCTGTGAGCCGGCGAAAGGTTATTATCCAGCGATACAGTAGATTTGAGGAAGGCCATGTATAACTTCATGAGAGTATATAAAGTGAGAAGAATAAGCTGTTGTACTTGAACTTTTCTTTTTCCTGACAAAGGATTTTCTTTTTCTATACTTAACTTCCACTTCTAAGAAACCTTTACTCAAAGCACACAAGGAAAATTTTGAGGAAAGTAAATAGTGCAAAAAATCATCCGGAGGAAGGTTGAGACGTTTTCAGAACTCTGACAATTTTATAAAATAATTGTTTAACGATACCATTTACACCGTAGAGTTAAATCAGCGTTCATAAAGTTCATTAAAGTTTATAAGCAAGAGTTAATAAAATTTTTTACCCCAATACAAACTAAAATACAGTCGCACCTAGAGTAACCAGAATTCGAAACTAGATTTTGAAAACTGTCAAGCTGTCAATTTTGACACTTCTTAATTCGTACCAGCATCAATAGTTGCAAACAATCTCCGAATTGCTTATTTCTAAAAGCAAGATTTTTTAAGGAGTCTCTAATGGTTGGAGTCCGTACATTTTTTGCTAAAGGTAACTTCTGTGACAGAATCGGTGACATTAAGGACAACGAAGATAACAGCAATGACAAATGTATCTCAATGCATTTGAAATGGGTCGATTCAATACTGCGAGAATTGTTTTATTTTATGCAAATGTTCTGCCCCAACTAAGGCAGTCAATAAACAATAATCAGATCACAATCGATATAAAGGTTGATATTCAGAGGAAGTTTTTCATATATCCTCGTCTCCGTTTCGGGGTCACTGAACGGAGGCTTCTGACTGTTATTTTCAGAGAGTTTGATATCAAGAACTTCTAAAACCATACTTTTAAAACATTAACTCTAAAAAACCATTACAAAAGTTGGTCTTAAAACTTTTCAGCAGTATATTTTTACAATAAGAAGCATGTTATTTAATTATGTAAAATGGGGATTAGCAGTGGCAAAGTCTTGAAAACAGTGTACATCCAATTCGTCAACTGTGTCTTTCACTTCATCATATCAAACTTTATTCGAAAAACTCTTAAAGAAATTCAGACAAAAATTCTTTTAGGGAGAAAATCTATTGAAAATTATTTGTCATATGTAAACGGTTTTCGTCCTACAACAGATCACTGTATGTATATAAAGCCATGTTGAATTGGAGGAAAAATGCTATAAGAGCGATCGGAGTCTTTCGTGAAAAAACAAACATAAACAAACCTTGGAATTGGTTTCATTCTCCGTGAACCAAAGTTCTGGAACTTTTCCTTGCTGGTCAACATCCCAGTAGCAGCGAAACTTGTCAAGAGTTTGATGGGTGCAAGAAACAGAATTTGGACCACTTCTCGCGATTCGTGGCTTTACAGTGCACCCCTCATGTTTGCATCCCCATATCCACGTGTTCCTGTACCAAAGCGTTGGTAACACATGTATGGTTGCTTCTTCTGGGCCTCTGTTTGCAACCGTGATTTTACACAATATGTCATTATCATCATTTTTGGCGTATTCTGCAAACACATCCCAATATTTGCTCTCATCGAACACCCCTGATAAATCAAAGAAAAATTTCGGTTGAACTCGGCTAAACGTGTTATATTTTCAGCTTTATTTTAAATATAGCATACTCGTTTTTGTTTCAGTAACAGTATCAGATTAACTACTTACATATTTGTCATACAATTGATTAGTACAATAAAGAATACTCTAACTATATGAGTAAAAGCGACAGCTTTTATTTTTGGCACTTTTTGCTGCAGTTTATCAACAAAGGGGCGGCTTATAAACATGGCAGCTTCAGGGCCCGCGCCACCGGGGGGCGGGGGCATGGCCCCTCCCACTTTTTTGCGAAGCATGTAGTTTTGAAGCTGCAGTAACAGGGGTAAGAAGCCTTGGCTCCCACTTTCAAATTCGTGGCGCGGGCCCTGTTCATCGAGATCCTCAAGAAATACTTATATATTGATGACCCGTGCTGATTAAACAATTTCAATACTATAGCCTCTTCTCGGAAAAGAGGTGGAGGCTGAGCATGGCGGCTGTGCTACTGTGCTACTGAAAGTGGTGGCCTATCACCCATCAAATCGTATTTGAAATTGTAGAAAAAGAAAAAGAACGATGGCTTTGCAAAAGTCTTCTAAAATATGGCTACAAACATATGCTAATTTCAATGTGAAACATGGTATAGAAAGAGTTTTAGGCCTACGGCCATGGAGAAATTGCAAAGTAAATAGGGGTCAGAACAGTTCCAGTACTTTCAGAAAGATATTAGAGAACGAGAACTTCTTTACAAGGACAGAAGACTTTCATTTTAGAGTATTACCAGAAATTAAACGACTGGCGTTATTATCAAGGTCACCCAGCCGCGACAGTGCCTTCACCTTCACATCAAACCATTTAACATTGTTGGCGAAACTAGAACTTGTTGTGGCAGACAAGTGTAATAAATGTCTCAGGCGATCCATTTCTTACTCGGCACACCTGTACTCCAAAAAAGGTACATTGGTTTTTTCATAAAACATAGCCTTAGATGGTCGTGAAATTTTTTTTAAGATTTAGTTGATTGCAATATAAAAAATTCAGAGATATGGGATAAGGGTTACCTCTCTCTAAAGTTGTTCTATATAGATAAAGAGTTTATGTTATGCATTGTATTCTCAATATCAATACTAGCAGCAGAACACATTAGGCAGGGTATTCGTTATTTTTTGAAGTAGAAAGCTCACATTTAAAAAAACATCTATAAGTTTACTAAAGTTTGTGCAGTCTTACTAAAGTGAGGGTGAAAGTAGACAGCAAAGGTTTGTTGAGTAAACGGCAGACTTTTGCTGGTTGCCAGCTTTTAATGAAATCCCTGGCTAGGTGAAATTTCTTTTAATAAAGACTGTTTGAAATTCATTTTAAAAAGAAACATAATTGGTTTTTCAAGCTCAAAAAAGCAAAAGCAAAGGCAAGAAACTTTCACTTGCAATGGATGATGCAGAAGGGATTGTGGACCTGCATAATTTACAGCAAAGAATGGAAGAGGTCCTTGAAGAAATGAATCAAGACCTTGCGACAAAAGTGCCACTTAGAATTACAACAGGTAAAAAAGCAATGCAAGTCTCTGTTCAAACCAAAGTATACTGTATTGCCTAAAATATATGTAAGATAAAACTTTTTCACATTAGGCAAATGGAAAATATTTCTACCAATTTATTCAAAAAAACAATTTTATATCCAAGTCTTTTAAAAAAAGTAAAAATCTTTTGATATGAACAATATCATTCGCAATATGGTATATAAAGCCTTGTCTTTTTGCTTGCTTTATAATTCAGGACTCAGGCTGCACTGCTATTAATGGACAATTTGTTATTTTTTTCTTTTCAGGCTTCTTGGATAATATTTTGATTGAAATTACCAAGGGAAAGAAAGTACCTTTGTATCAAGTTGCACAAATCAAATCAACAAGTGATTTTTTTCACGTAGAAATCCAGGATACATTTCTCAATGTAAGTTTTATAAAAGAAATGCCAAATTTGCTTAGAATGTTGAAAAACCAACCATTTCTTAGAGAGTTTTTTTTGCTTTACAGTTGCTAACTGCCAGCAAGGTTTTTAAGCTACGTGTTATTTGAGTCCTTATTTACAAAGTTTGACAATGCTAGTTGTATTGAAGAAGATGCAAACAATCATTCAAATAGGTTGACACAAGGCATACCATTTTAGAAGTGCACCTTGTCAGTTTGTTTTAAATTCATGTCCCTTTGCAGTCACTAAAATTTTAACTGAAAATATTCTTAGTTTACAACACAAGAATGAGAATGTGAGTCTCTATGTAGGTAGGGACCCCTCAATTACTAGCGAAGGGAATAAATTCTACTGAAGAGACATATTTGTGGGAAAATTTCAAAATATACCCTGCCGGTACTGATTGACATAAACCAACAAGAAAAAATAAATTTTTGACCTGTGGAAGAAATAAATAAGATTTTTGAAAGAATTTCAAGACATGCCAACATTGACAGCTCTTTCAGAATAAAAATTGCATGGCAATAGCTTAGACAGAAAATAACAAGGCATATGACAAACTCTCCAGTATGTTATAAAAGCATTTATACAACATTGGCAAACCTTAAAGTCTGGTTATAGGCAGATGCCTGATCACCTCAGAAATTTTTATATTTTATTAATCAAATATCATATTTATTTATTTTATATAGCACATTGGCACAAAGATAAAATTACAAGGCCTAAACTAACAGGATTTGGAAAGATATCTGTGTAAAAGGTTGCTAAGGATTGATTGGGGAAGACACTCCTAACAGTATTGTATTCTTCACCACAATGCTGTTTTTCTAAAGAATCTCCTTGAATAACGGAATCTAAAGACTGTTATTAGCCATGATGGCAACACAAAATTTTAATGAATTATAATAGCAATTTACAAAGCAATCAAAACAAGTCATTTTTTTCTTTATTATTTTTATCAGGCATCAAAAGTTATATCAAGTGCCATAATTGAAACAGGATTCAACATGCAACCAACTACCAAGGGCAATACAATTACAATACCAATACCATTGTAAGTGAAGAGGTATCTTCATTTTAATTTTAATGTAAATGAAATTAGCTTGTAATTACTTAGAATGCATTGAACACTGAAACTAAGTCATATATGAAGGTCATAGTGAATAGCTGTGAAAAGCATAAAATTGATGCTGAAAAACATATGTGTTGAGAAATATGATGCTGAATTATCATGAAATCTCTTCAGAAATAGAAAATGTGTAGGAAGGTTGTTTTTATGCTTCTTCTGGGAGTCTGAGCTAAGTTTGAAGATGGGGAAGCAGGAGCAAATTACAAGTTCTTGTCATAGGTTTTGAACATATTATTTTTTTTCAAAAGGTGAGTGGTGAAAACCTCTAACCTCGATGTATATTGAGCCAAAGGATAGCATGGCATATGAAAGATTTTTTAGTATGTAGCAGACAATTTTTTTTTCGAACCAGATAAATTTTGCATCAGCTTGTTGTTCTAATTTTTGGATAATTTGAGGCTCAGAAGTACAATAAATTTTTACTAACTAAGTTTTTGATGGTGTTTTTAGTAGCATGGCTGACTAGCTAACAAAATCAGCTGTGCTTTGTTCATGTGAGGAGATATTTTCAAGAACATTATTTTTCCATTTGAACCTAGCCATGTTTTTACAATGCTCTTATTTTTTTGCAAATTCTTATCAAGTGTGCTATTTTAGAAAAAGAGTCTATATTAATCAGGTTCACACATGACCAGCGGAACTCCATTGAAAAAGTGGCAAAAGTTATAGCAAACAGTGCTAAAGATGGACTAAGAAAAGTCAGACAGAAAGGAATGGTTCAAATCCGTAATAACAAAGAAGGCCAATCCAAAGACTTCATACGGCGAATTGAAAATCAGGTACTAAGCATTAACCATCAGGCCTGGCTGTTTGAGGTGAGCGATAGCTCGCGCTCGCCTCCATGCTCCCCTCGCAACCTGAGGTGAGCTATGAATTGCTCTCCTAAACAGAACACGAAGGTAAAATTGCTCCCCTAAAATTGCCATTTATTTGCCCTTTTCCTATTCAGAGAGCCCTGAAAACGTATAAGGGTTAATTAGTTTATTTTTGTAACAGTGATATCTCCCGTCATTGCATTTTTTGCAACTAACTTTTTGCTTGTTGGGCAGTTTTTGTCATGATAGGCATAAACTTCGATCTATTTGGAAAAGGATAGTTAACTGAATAGTATATTTGTAGCGATTAGAACCTTTCAATCTTAAGAAAACAGGAATATTTTTGGAAGGAAAGTCGAAGAAATTGGTATGAATTGTAGATTTGGGATATATAAGACAGCAGGTCCCTTCCAGCAATAGAAACAAAACTATCCCTCAAAGAGAACAAGGTACTCTGTCTTGCTGATCAAAAATAACAACCAAAATATGGAATTCCATTATCCAGCAGCATTTACTGAAAAACCCAGATTGGGTGAAAAACTATAACAGCGACATGATTCACATTATTAGCATTATTAGCCATTTTAATTGCTCAAACCACAGATCAAATCATGCCATTTTGAAAGAACAGGCATTTGATATTGCTGGGAAATGGCTGCATAACATAAAAGAAACCCAAGTAATATTTAATATCTTGACTTCTACCTTTCTTGTTCTGGCAGAGTTTATTTCAAAAGTAATCGTTTTTTCAAAGGCCCTTATATCTGTGCATGTTAACAGTACAGGTGTCATGTAGTTTTTTGTTGTGCCACATTGTTTTGGTTGTCATCAACATTTGCTGTATATTGATGTTTGTGTTGTTTTATAGGTGCAGCAGCTGACAGATCATTACACAGAAAAAGCTGAGATGGTTCTTGAGCAAAAACTTAAAGAAGCTAATAAGAAAAAATGAAGATTTAGCAAAAATATGTATATATTCCAATAATGTAAGAGTATTTTTGTGTTAAACTTTTGTGGCCCCTTGAAAAAGTGCAAATAAAATCAGAAATATAAGACCAATTGCATTGTCTTCTCGCCTCTTATGAAAATAAGTAAAACAATGGAATGGACTGAGAGTTTTCCTCCTCGAATCCATAACTAAAATAAACCAAACATATCAATGTGTCAACATTTTGTAGAATATTTCTTTGCTTACCTGTATCTGCAAGTTCAAATTCTGGCCCATCTAATCCCTTTTCATTATTTCCACTCTCCAGATGGCTGTATGGATATTCATTTTGAGGATACTTGTAGAGAGCTTTCATGTAAGAGTGGGTTGGTGTGGAGTCAATGTAGTAGTAGTTTTCTTTCACATCTTCACCATGATTGCCTTAAAAAAGCTTCACATGTCATTGTTTGACTAGCATTTTATTTGGGAGCTTCCAATATTATACTCCCACAATTCTTTATTAGAACCATTAATAAAATTGTCTCAAAGTCAAACCCTCTGTATTATGTTTAAAATATCATCAAGTAGAAAGTCTAGCATCATAAAATAATCAAAATCATCATTAATGTTTACAGGTTTTAAAATCCATAAAATTATTGTTTGTCATCTGTCTCATTCACAACATTCACAATCATGATGATTACAGGGATGTGCCCTATATTTGCATTAAGAGAATGCAGGGTACAACCCTTACATTTGGAAGTAAAAAAGGTTTTATCAGATAATTTTCTATCGCGGCTGGAGAATTTCAAAGTTTTTACTAAATTTCCAATAAAAGTTTTATTATTGGAATTAGGGGAACAGGTGCTCCCAGTATCAGAATGTTTAGTCTACAAATAACAATTTGCCTTCAGAAGAAATTAATGGGGCAGCCAATGTTACCATGTTTAAGACCTCAGACCAAGCCAATAATAATTCGAAAACGGTGTGTCTTCTACACAGTGAAATATGGTAGTTCCTTTTTTTATTATTTTGAACCCACCCTTTATTCTCATAGCAGATGTGCTGCTTTTATGCCACTAAGTTGGTCTTGCATTTAATTTTAAGACAAAGCCATACCTTGGGGGCCAGTGAGACCAAATAGCCTTTCTTTTAGAATAGCATCCTTGCCATTCCATAAAGCCAAAGCAAAACAAAGTCTACATTCTCTGTCAGTTATTCCAAGTAGACCATCTTCACCCCATCTGTAGGCTCTGGACCTTGCTTGATCATGACTAAAGTATTCCCAACTGAAAATTAATATGAAAACCAGAGATGGAAAAAAGCTTGATGCTTTCAAATTGATAAATTTTCTGGTAGTGAACAAAATGAACTGAACCAATTTCTGTCTCGTAAAGTCGATATGTAAGAAATAATGTCATAGCATGGGGCCACTTTTTTCTGAAAACCTATGAGAGATTTTGTAATTTTTAACAACATTTGAGGCAGTTCAAGGAGATCTCAATATCAAGTTCTTTAGCTGTTTTAATGGCCATGGATAAACTGAAACACAAAACTCCCTGTATACATTTGCCTTTTTAAACAGCAAAATATACAAATATTATTGAACAAAATATTCCTCACAGGCTACAGCTAAAATCTGCATAAAATAACCTGAATTTCTTTAAGGTAGAAAAGACTTGATATTAACTTATTCATAGTGGTCCTTCTATAGCAGGTGCTTAATTGGAAGAAAAGTTTGAAGGTTCTGCAAGGCTTGCAGCTATAAATCTGCAGTTTTTTTAAGGAGTTTTGGCTTTTAAGTACATGGCACCATAGGATTACCATTTATTGCTGGTTCTAACTTTATAACTTGGATATAGCATTGATGTCTCCAAGAAACAAACCTATCAATTTGATACATGGTCGAAAAATTCTTTCTACTGTGGACCTACACAAAACGTGACTAAAAATCTTATGCAAATGCATCCAGACCAAGCACCTCTTCTTCTGACAAATCAAACAGGCTACCAAAACGTTTGAACATGCTTGCTGGATGTCTGATAAAGAAAACTTTTCTTTATTTGGACCACTAATAAAATGTCATATTAACCGTTGTTTGGTTGATAGTAAAAAAGGACAGAGAGTTATGACAGTGGCAGACACCTGGGAGGGCAAGCGGGTGGGCAATCCTCTCAATATTTTGGAGGACAATGGTATTTAGTTCTAATACAATGGAAAAATGTGACATCTTCTTATGAAAATAATAGGCTTGCCCCCCCCCCCTAATATTTGACCAAGTGTCTGCCCCTGAGCCTCGATAACAGGAGAGCATACCTAAATAAGGTACCTCATAGTTATTTTGAAAATAGGTTCTGTCAACTATCAACTGTAAACAAGAGTTTTAGAAATCCCATGAAACTACAGTGATCACACCACAGGGAAGCAGCTTCTTGCAGAGGACACATATTTGCCATAATTGATGTCTTTAATGCTTAAGTTCTGCTCTTTATTGCTTGACTGTTACTACTTTGCTTGTGAAATTATGTAAGAATATGAATTCACCATGTGTCTTTAAGGGAATTTCTTCGCATATGATAAAAAGTTGAAGTAAGACAAGTCAATGATAGTGCTAAAGACAACTTCGCCTGTAGGGGCAACCCATTCTTTCTGTAATGTTAGGTTCAAAGCTCCATCCCTAAAATCTCAAAACTTTTAGAGATGCCACAGAATAAGTTATAAATCAAAGCTGTCTTTATTTTTTGCTTCTTTAGAATTATACTGTTTCAATGTATCTATCCATATATAACAAACTGAACGTTTAAAGATAACTTCCTCTACTAAACAGTTTAATATTAGACCAAATAAAGTAGAAAATTGATTATGAGGATATAGTCTTTCATCACAGCATGCTACATTTATAAACATCATCCTGCTGTCTGCAATAATGCAATGTAACACAAGCTTGCAAGTGATACTGATAACTAACAATGACTCAGCAGTTTCGAAGCAAGGTCCAAGTTGAAAACAATAATGAAATGAAATAACAAATTACAATGAAATAAAAAATTTTAATTCAAAACATGCAATAAATATAATACCAGCTTCCATCAGGTGAATAATCTTCTCTCACTGTACCCCATTGCCTCTCTGATAGATAAGGACCCCATCTTTTCCAATTCTTCTCTCGCTTGTCATCTTGTCGCAAACGCTGAACTTCTTCTGTGTCAAACTCATAAAGAACTTGCCACTTTGCACTGTTTGACTTATGAATCTCCTTGCCGTTTGCATCGGTTGGTTGTTGCTTCCCAGACATATTGAAGTGCTGAGAACTAAAAACCGCCCTTGTTTACAAGCGGATCGATGCCTAGGCCACAACAGGAGGGTGCAACAACGGCAACAGCAATAAACATTCTTGTCTGCCACCGCAAGTTCAAAATATTTACATGAGTTTTGTGCTCGCAGCGTCCAAAACTGGGAAACAGAATCTATTCTGTGACCTGGATCGATTTCGGAAAAACCATTAATTCCAACGCAATAAATCACTTTTTACCTCAGCATGTTACCTCATCAATAAGCACACATCTATTTCAATATCTATAATTAGTGAAAACTCAAAGTGAAAACCTCAACGTAATCTTCTCGAAGCGACTAGAGGAGGGGGGCTAGGTGGGTTAGGATTATTTAGGCCTTGACCCTGTCTTGGCTATTGATAGCCCTGTATGTTTTTTATAACAACTAGAAGTATCAAGGATAATACAAGATCCAACCGTAAGACGGGAAGCTTTAAATGAGTTGCGCGATTTATACAAAGGTGAAAACGATATTAAGGAATAGTTTGGGTTCACGCAGAAAAAATCAGCAAATTCCTCTAGAAAAAAATTTTGCAGCAAAACAAGACAATGAAAATAGAATAAGTCATGAAATATTTCAGATGATGATCCGTGTAGACAAACGTCAGAAGTACCTTCTGGAATAAATGTTGATCAGCAACTAAATACACAAAATATTATGGCTGGAATAAAACTTTTTCTAAACTCAGCATTACAACCTACAAGAATACAGCCTACAGAAATACATTCGAGCAAACTTGTTAAAAATTCAGATATTTGTCAACGTCCAACTATGATGCTCACACTTCGCCTTGATTATCGTCCACATTATATTCAACCCAATCATGGGCGATGGGTGCTGACAACATCGTATCTGTGATAGCAAAGGCATCACACAAGTCCAACGCATGTGGTGCAATGGAGCGACAAAGTTCTGCCGACTTAGCGTTGACTTCCCCTGCACTTCTCTTTGACAGTCCACCATGAAGCAAGAACCAACCAAGATCTCTTTCCAGAATGTTCAACAAGTACAAATGATAGAGATCTGTTAGTATTGGCTTCAGAGACTCGTCGGCTGTTTTGAGAGTTTCCGCAAATCTCTCGCTTACAAGACACTCAACATACGATTTTGCACAAGCCTGCACAAGATCACTTTCTTCCAGCATCCATGACTTGTACAGCCCACTAGGGCCTGCCTCCATCATCTTTCCGCCTAGAGTCATAAAAAGCAGTTGCTCTCTGTTTTCCAACAGATAGTGCAAATACGACAGGTCAGAAATATTCTCTGTAGGAGACTCTAGACTTTTTGGTCTGAATGCAGTAAGGCGTTCTTTGGCTACCTTTTGCATGAGAACAGAGTTGTCACCTTCAGCTGTCATTGCTGCGTGTGCAAGTCCTATGAAAGTACCGAATCTATTGCAGGATAGGTAACCCTGCCCACCACATCTTTCTCTTGTTGTTGATGCGACTTCTTCACAGTGCCAAGATGCCATTGGCTTAATTGCACAGCACATTGTGACGATTTCAGGGTGCTCAGAGCCATCCTTGTTTTGAAAAGCCCATCTGTCCTTCACGTAATCCAAAGCTAGATTGATTGCATATGTTCTAGCCAGTAATGGCATGAGGGCACGTTGTTGAAGCTGATAAGCTAAAATGGGAGTATCCGACTTCCCTTTGGGTCCTACAGTTAATCTTGTGGCAGAATATCTTAATGCAATAGTCAGTGCAGCTTTACTAGCTCCCATAGACATACTTGCAATGCAAATTCGCCCTGAAAGTAATTGATCCGCAACAGTCAAAAACCGCTTCCTGTTCCCATCTATCTTGCTTGTGAATTTTCCATCTTCAGAAACATCAGAGTACAGATTAAGAAGATTTTCACGAGGCACTCGAACGTTGTCAAAGAATAACTTAGCATTGTCAACACCATTGCCTGACATTTTGTAACCCATGTCCTCAATTCGCACACCTGGCATTGGCTTCAGATTATCATCTCTTATGCGGACAAGGACCCCATGAATACCATGACATTTATCATCAGTGTAAAGCTGAGAAAAGACAACGGCCCATTTGGCATGGACAGCCCCGTTTGTGATCCAGTACTTCTGTGCAACTGTCGTAGGTGTGTTCACGATGAACTCTTTCGTAGCTGGATCATATATGGCAGTGGTCTCCATTTCAACCGCATTATTCCCATAGCCAAGTTCAGTCAGGCCAAAACAACCAACATCGTCAAGAGAATCAATTCCTTTGAGAAGAAGTTTATGATGACGCTCAGTTCCAAGTTTTAAGATTGTACCGCCAAAAAGGTTGAACTGCACTGTCATCTTAGTTGTCATCGCAGGATCGATGATCGCAGCCAGCTCATGAGCGGCAAATATCCGTAGAGGATTATTGACGAAATCGAGCACTGATATAAATCCTGCATCACAAATTCTCTTCAGGCGCTGCATTGCTAAATCACGTTCGTCTGCCAAAGCTATGTTGTAAATTGGCACCATGACTGGGTCACTAACAAACTCGCGAAATTGATTCCTCATTTCGTGGTTATCATGATCAAGCAAGGCAATCATTTTTTCCTTATCAAAACTGCTCTTTTTCCAGGCATCACGAAGGTTACCTGGGTTTGTTGAAGTTGCAGTGGATTGCAAAACTGCAGATGAACAGGCAATACTGCGATGATGCAATTTCAAAATGCCGCTGTAACCATTGGCTGCCAGAGGTCTCTTCAGCGCAGCAATCCCATGTCTCAGGAGGCTCATTGTTACAATTCTGAAAGAAATTTTGAAAATACAATATAGATATAAATCCATAAAGGTGAAAAAATCTTCACGTTTTAGGCAACTGATCTCAAAATAAAGACACTAGTTGGTGATAAATTGATCATCAAATCGAAAGCGTTCAGTAAAATTATAATACAACAAAATGTTTACAAGGAATGGATCTGTCAAAATCAAATTCGAATGAAACTCTTTGCAATTAACCATCACAGGCAAATACACATTGCCAAACCTACAATCTCGACAGGCAGTGTTCGATTTATACGAGTTTTTCAAAATATCCTGGATTTGTCGCCGTTACCCCTAATCCTCTGTTTTATAGCCGCAGCTTGCATACCAATTGTAAATATAGTCCCTAGTACGCATTTAATTGACTGTACAGCACGGGGGTAGGCCAAGATTAGTTTTCTTATCTCCCCAACGAATATTGATGATAATGGCTTAAATAACAGCCGAATACAATAGAATCAATTTTAGGAGAATTTTATGAAATGAAGTACTTATTTTCCCGTTTTTTTACTACTTGCAGAAAGTTCGAAGTAAGAAAGGTTTTTTCCCCAGATGACCGATAAAACCATAGATTTACGAAACGTTAGAATAAAAGAATTTTGAATTATAGAGAACGTTTGCAAGGGTGTGTTAGGAGACTTTAAGGGACCTAAGAATTTCGTTTGAATTAGTTAAAGTTCGAGTCACAAGAGTTAGAATTAAACAGAGTTGACCACAGTATCTCTACTATTGGAATATCTATGCGCTAATTTTCCAACATGTTAGAGCACTGACAAAATTCAATCCTAAGCCATTCGTCTCATCAACCACTTTGTCACCTGTTTCACTACTTTTTATAGATTTTACGACATTGCTCTCAGGAGATTAGGGATGTGATCAAAGGTACCCTGAGACATGATAGCAATGTAGCTGTTGGAATTTAGATGCACCCTACCCAACAGGTTTTTAAGGGTTTGGACAAAATGCTTTCAATCTAATGATATTAAATCAGACGAAACTGTAAAACTTTTGGAAGCAACTCTGGGTTTCAAATTGAGGATTGATACAGAAATATCAAAACTTTGTAAAAAGTTGCCATGCCACAGCAAACAATCTGAGGAGATTAAGATCATATAATTGATTTGTGCAGAAACAGGTACTATAAGTATAAAGCTTTGTTTACACTAACTACAATCGTTGCCTGGTAGTTACGCATTTTTCTTCCCTTTAGGAACAAACTTTAGGAAAATGAAAAGTCACACCAGCGTGTACTAACAATGATCATTAATTAAACTTTATTCATCTTCTTCATCTTATGGTTAAAAATTGAATTGTAAAAATTATATCAATTTCAAGGTACCTGAAGGGTGTGACATCGAAACACCCTCCCCCAAAATGCCAAAACACCTTCCCCAAAAAGTGAAGTGATAAGAAGGGTTGCACATTAGCGCAATATTAAAAAAAGCGCTAAAAAGAGCCGTTATAATATGCACATACATCTAAATGAAAATGAAAGAAGTCATTGGACTAGCAGAAGATTGATCAGCCAAAACTTATCAACGTAGCACTCACTGACATAATATTATGAACCAATTTTTTACAAACAGTTTTATCATTAGACATTAAAATGTTGCTGATTGAATTTCTCTAGCTTTCAGAAATAAAATGATCTTGTGGTATACTTAGAATAAGGAGTTTTTTCAGTTCTGCTGATGAGTATGGGGCCAGGGGTGGAGTCCCATACTTGACATAATGGGATTTGGCGATGAACAGGGTAACCTTTTCTGATTAAATGATGGGACAGGGTATTACAAATTGCATTAAAATTCTGAGACAGGGTATAACATCCTTTTTTCTTTTCTTTGCATTATTCTGCCACATTTTTTGTATAATTTTGATGGGACATGGTATGCTTTTGGCAACTTTTTTATGGGACCAGGCCAGGGTGCAAAAAGTTTTGCCACATACCCTTGTAACTTTCCTAGTCAAGTGCCCTAACCCCCCCCCCCCCCCAGGTATGGGGTCCATAGTATAGTATATCTAGCTTCAATCCACTGGAGTAGACTTCAGACCTGAATGTTGGGTACCAAGGGTTTTTGAGTGTATTCTTTCTAAATACAAAATTTGATTTGATATACAAGGCTAGTAAAATCTTCTCAAAAAATCTTCTAATCTTGAATCCAAAATGCCTATTATCTGACTAATGAGACAATGTGTTCCTGAATCATGTAAAAACCCCTTTAGATGAAGAGTATTTCCTATAATGCTTTCTCGTTTCCAGCTGGTGCAGTGGTGGACAAACTTTTGTGTTCCTGCCAAGCTATTCTAAAGTAAAACTCCTCATTCAATTGTTTTACCAATTTTTATAGCCTGTTACTTTTCCAAGAACCAATGCACTTTTACCTTTTCCACAAAATATCCTTTGGATCAGTGTGTTCAAGCTATTCATTGATGAAAATTATCTTTGGTAGCAATCACATTATAAAATGTTTTTTTTGCAATTACAAAATATTGTCAGAAATTACATCAGAGATTTGACTAACAGGGGCAGCATGCCAAAATTCTTTTAATTTTTTTAATGAGATATGACTCAAGGATTGCTAGGAGTAGTAGAATATTGGTATTAGCCTGCTGAAATGGAGACACGAGAAGGCTCTCACTCAAGACTGTTGAGCTATTTAATGGGGGTGAAGCTTGTATGTTTGGGGGTGGGCAAAAAGACCTTTTCAATTTGAGGGATTGGAATAACTTCTTGGAACAAACATATTCAGAACAGAAGGAGGAATTTTTGGGCAGCTCTTTTGGTTTTCAGAGGCTAATATCTTATATATCTTAACTTATAACAAATAATATTTTACAGATAGAGTACAGTTTGTTTCAATCAATGGGGATCCAATATGGTGTGTTCCAGGAATCAGCCCTCATGTTATACAAAAAAAATAACAATCACACACTTAAAGATGGAGGATTAGAACATTATAATTGTATGAGCAGAAAGCAAATATAGCTTGAATACTGCTCTTTGAGTAACTGACCCCATCAAAAAATTGTTGCAAAAAAGTGGCAGCAAACAAAAGGGCAAAATAAAATTTCTTGAAGTTTAGAGAACCAATTTTTTTTCTTTGAAAATAAAAATAAGGTATTAAAATAAGGTAATAGATACCATCCCCGGGTCACCCCTATGTGAATTACAAGATCTTAATTGATCCTTTATGATATTATTTTGAATAGCAGTAAATTTTAGCTGCCCTATTCTAATCCTAGGAAAATATGATCCACTTTGTGTAATTTACAACTTTAACCGACAGAAACCTAATTATTGGTGAATACAAACATCCTTATCTATTATATCATCTAACATATCTCAATTTCAATCCAAGATGTAATTTCAATCTTCTTAAATTATTCTTTCAAAATTTGCGGTTGAGCAGTTTCATATCTGCAGAATATGATAAAGCATCAAACACTTTAGGACACTTGCTTTGTGATAGCTTTGTGAGTTATTGCACTTTTTAAATAAAATACTGTTTTATTGTCTAATACCTTTAGTTAATTGAAATAATTCTTAGTGGGACATGTTGAATCTTAATGAAATTTGGCAGGCTATTATTGATTAATTTTTGAACAACATGAAGAGTCAAAAATATTATTTGAGAATTGCTGAGCAGAGGGACAAAGCTACAACCATATCAGTACCAGCCAGCAGCAACAAAACAGTCTTTCACTCCTGACTTCAAATGTATTAATATATATATATAAAACAGCTATTTTAAAAAAGGGAATTTAGACTTTAGTTTAGACTGCAGAAACTATAAGTTTATTGAGAATCTTTTAAGCTTGTTTTTCAAAGCTAAAAACTTTATCAATAATTTTGACGTTCTGACTGCGAGTCAGTTGAACAAGGTCGTGGGAAGTGCAACAACAGAAAGATGAATTTAGGTGGTAATGTGGAGTGGAGTTCACTAAAAAAGTGAGTTAGCAAGACACGCATCTAGAGCCTACCTAAAGTGTGTAGGGAAGCAAGATAGATGACATTGCACCATCCGCCGTTATTCTATTTCACGAAATTTGAAGGCGTTTGGAGCCCATTTATTGTTATGCAAGCTGTAGTAAGGAACTCGACCAATTTCTGCCACTTCGAACTTTGGACCCTAAGAAATTTTACCCTTTCCTAGACTGCAAAAAGAAATGTCAAGCATTAAAATAAATCAAACCCACCTCTGGTACTCTTCTTAGAGTGAACTAAATGAATAAGATGGTGTTGTTTTGAGGCAAGAATACAATGCACTCTGCTTGTTTAGTCTGCTTTCCTCCGCGCCAGGATGGTTGCAGTGATGAGGAGATGGAGAAAGTCCAATAAATTGAATTGAATTAATGACGTAAATTTGTTGACCCATGATTTTCTTTGAATTTTGAACCCAAGGGACAGCACACTCAGCACAAGGGCTTTTGTACAATTATTGATTTAATAATCAGGATACACAGGGGGGGGGTCAATGACCCGGGGGCCCATGACTTTAGGGGCCCATAGATAGAAAATTGGCTAAAAAATTAATAATTAGCAGTTCAGCCTCTCGATTATCAAAACCTGTCAATAATAGCAAAAATAAAGTAGAAGCAGCAACAGTATTATAGCCCCATTATGTTTGTCAAACAGAGCTTGTAGCTTTATGTATGTCTTTGCATTTGTACAATGGTCAATGATGGAGCTATGGTCAAGTTTTTCGGAAATTTCAGTTTCTATGGACAATTTCAACGATATTTCAGCTGATGCAACCTTAGCAGGCAAATTCAGAAACAACCTTAATGCAATGAAAACATTGGGAAGTAAGCGTTGCAAATTCAAATGCTTAAGCTTGTTCAATAGCCGCAATGACTCATCAGTGATGTTAGGAGATATGTCATCCTTTTATGCTGCGCAGAATTTTGCATTTTTTTGGCTAGGTCATCTTCCTTCAACCTTGTGTAAAATCAAAGAATACTGAATCCCTCCCATATCTTGCCAATTGACGTGAATCAACTAATCATCTTTGCTGTAACACTATCCATAATAACAATGCCGCCATTATCTTGAATTTTACCAAAGGCCTTTTCCTGGTTTTCACTTCAAGATAAAGATAAACTCGACTGATTTCTCTTGGTGCTCAATTTTTTGGGACATCTAGCCCCTCGTCTAAACAAGCTTCTTCCAAGATTGAATCAACTAGTTTTGTATTGACATTGAAAGGTTGCATTCTGATTGTTAGGTGTAAAGTTTTTTTCAAATTATTTGAATAGTAAAAATCTATTTGGTGCAGCATGTCCGTTTTGATCAAATTTAGTATTTAAAGGTTTGTCACTTCCTAAGATTTTTTTAAATGTAAAGAATTGCATATTTTATAGTTAAGAAACATGCATGCATTGTGACAATAGTATACCCGTCATATTTAAACTATATTGAAAAGACTAGAGAAGTAATAGACTCCATCGCAATTTCAGCATACAATAGCCGCAATTTTAGCAACCATCATCTCAAAAAGTTTCCCCGGACCCCTTAAAAGGGTCCCTTCCGGTGTGCCTTGCTTTTATCTTTTGTTTTGACCTGGGGCCCAGAAATCCTTTACGCGGCCCTGACGTACAATGAATAAATGAATAGAATCACCTTTCTGGAAAACTATTTTCTGTAAAAGGATTTGGGCTTACTTGAAAGGGAGGCCTAACTAAACAGGGAATTCACATAATAATAAACAATGTTTTAATTACCAAGGCCGTCGGAAGCGGGGAGGCGACGGAGGGGTCCTGGGGGAGTTCTCAAAACATCATCCACATCGATGTTTCTGTACTTTGGGTGGCGTGCAGCGTTTGGTGTTTCAAAAACGAAAATATAATTTCTACAGAAACAACGGTTTCTGACTTGTACACTTGAACAGAAACATCTGACGAAGTCACTCTTATATATTTATTATTACCTAACACAACACCAGACAGTTATATTTTCTTCCGAGAGCTATGAATCTAAAATATATTCCAAACGAGCTCTTGACGCATCTTTTATTATATGGAGACAAAGATTTCCCGAATGATCTTAAAAAAATATTCTTGAATTGACTCTAAGATTCATCCATGAAACTGGTTGACTTCATTAGGACCGCACCATAGTTTGTTATACCTCGCATAACCACCAAGTACGTCATCGTAAAGCATCTTTTTTGTAAAGTTCCGTCCAGTAGATGTAAATTAAATTCTTTTGTAGTATTCTTATGTTCTTCTGTGTATTTTTATGAAATGTAATGGGTGGGTCGGGGAGGGGTGCTGCATGCTTGGGAAGTCGTGGTGGGGGCCACACACTCGATAATAATTCCTCAAGTGAGGCCTGGGTCATAATTTTTATGGCATTGTTTAATTCGCATCCAATTATGTGTGTCGGTTGGTGGCTCTCAGGTGCGGCTTTGAGGGCGGGTGGTGCATCTTTCCGGATTCACCTGGTAGTTTTATTCTTTCTATGTTAATTTGCCACGGGGTTGTCATGGTCGGTCTATTGCTCTCCGTGGTATCAACGTCCTTGTAATGCTTCTTGAGTAATTAGTAGGTAGCGTAATAGGTAACTTGTCTTGTAAATTTTTAGCAGAATATAAAGAGATTAAGTAGAAATTAATCTAAAAAATTCTAATGTTGCAGCTTAATTTCTATACGGTGCTTCAGTCAAAGATTGTGACAAAGCAAGAATTCCTTTTTCTACAGAGAAAGTTTGCGAAAGATAATTATTTCTTAGCATTGGTACCTTAAAATATTTGACATTGTGAAGAGATCAAAAGAACGAAATACTGATTGGTCTTTTGCGAAACAACTGTATCCCACCTTACTTGCTTTAGACATGTTCATCATCTTCTTCTTCTTTTTCCTTTTCGACATTTTCAGTCATCTTTGAAGTACCGTCCTTGCCTTCGCAGTCATTTGCCCCTCTAGGCCAGGTAATATCAGTGTATCTGACTGCCTCCTTTGTCTTTAGCTCCAAATCAAAGGAGGAATCCGTCACTGCATACAAATCTGGAACAACTGGCTGCCTAAATGACCCATCCTCTGGTTCAAAATCTATCCACTCGACGTTCTTAATCAGAATCCTGTGAGTCACTTTTTCACCTTCACTGATTTCAAAGTTCCATTTTCCGCTATCCTGCTTACGAAACATTAACTTTCTTCCGTTTCTCGTTGCCCAGCTTCGAAGATCTCCAGAGAGAACCAAAGAATCTTGGTTGAACTGTCGCCCTCCTTTCATGTCGATGTGGTACATTAAAGTGGATGATGGACTTTGTGCTTCTGGTATTCGTAACTCAAGCACTTGTGGTATGCTAAAGGAACCCTGGAAATCTTTGTTAAACCTGTACGCTTCTCTATCGTTTAGTTTCTGCATTTCCCTTCTAACATCAACGATAAACCTCTTCTCGCGACAAATATCCACAATGACTCTTGTTTTTCCATTAGGCATCTCTTCAACCAGTTGTTCAAATGGTAGACCATTGATATCAACTTCGAAATCTTTACCAGGACATTCTTTGCTTTCCCTTCCATCCTCATCTTTCAGTTTCAAGATCCAGTGGTTGCGAAAGGACTCTCCTACTTTTAATAGAACCAGAGACCTCTTCCCTCTCTTCAAACATTTGTTGATGAAATCTTGCCTTAAAATCAGAACATCATTGTTGTTCTTTCTTATATTGAAAGTCATGAAATACCTGCCTCTCTCAAACTCAGGTGGATTAAGGTAAATTCTGTACGGCTCACATGCGGATGAACGCAGATTTCGATCAAAATGATAATCAACGCCTTTTGATGGATTTCTAAGATAATCTGTTTCTCCATCTGCTTCAAAAATACTGGGATACTTGTTCAGTGGCTGCTCCATCCCATCTGCCTCGGTTCTTACGATAGGGTACCCTTCTAATCTTCTATTGAAGAAAACGGTGCCTCTAATTTGCCATCTCTTGCCTTGCTGTCGACCGTATATATATAGCATTCTTGTTGATTCTGAGTACACCAGATGTGAGTTCTCAACTTTTCTTGCAAATGTGTGGCCTTCTTCAATTGTTATCTTCCCGGGAATCTTACACTGATCATCAATGGTTATGGCGAAAGGTCCCCAGCTTGTTGTTTTAATGATATATTCATTTCGACCTTTTGTCTGTCTTACAACTGAATCATGATCCATCGAAAGTTCAACAATATCGTCAAAGGGTGAGCCAACAAACATCTTAACTCCATTTACTTCTCCCAAGAGAACTCCCTTTGCTCCACCTTTAGATTTTACCCGATATTGAAGGGTGCCTCCTAAAAGATTGAAATTAACACCTTTGATTCCATAATCATTTTTGGTCGACATACCCTCAAAAGAGAGAACATTCATTTCGTTTCCTCTTAGTCTTGCCGTTTTATCGGCTGCCATCGAGATGGTCACCTTAAATCCATATCGTGGTCCGTACTTCTCGTAACCAGGCTTGCCAACCATTCCGTTGATAACAACGACGTCATTTCCACCCCCAGTTCTGATTTCTACATTATGCTGAAACGCAATATCGTACATATCTTCGACAACTACGCAGTCATTGAACCGCTCTGTTTCTTTGTCATACGTAACTATATCCAACCCTTTGAGTACCAAACCAGGCTTTCCAGCGACAAGGCTTGTCCCAGCAATGACCGTCACCCCATTGAAGTCTTCAGTTATCTTCTTTCCATAAAAGTCGAATCCAAGGTCGACTAATCCTTTAGGATTCCAAAAGAGATTTCCTGGGTACCTCCCTTTAAGTTACAATGTCCAAACCCTTGAGGACCAGACCAGACTTGCCAACAACAAGGCTTGTCCCTGCAATTACTGTAGCCCCATTAAACTTTTCTGTCATTTTCTTCCCATAAAAGTCGTACCCAAGGTTAACTAATCCTTGTGGATTCTTCCTTTGTCGAAAATTTTGTTTTTGCCAACAACCAAATAACCGTCTACTTCTCTAGGAGTTAGTTCCCTGCGAAACTTCACTGGGACATAGTTTTCTTCATCCCTTCCTTTCACATATTCCAACGCAAGTCCTTGATTCATTTCATATATCCACGAGAATGTAAAATTCGATTGGCTTGGAACCATTTCTTTCAATTTCTCTTTATCGACATCTAGTAACTTTTTGGAATTTGTTGTCAGATCCCTGATGAGTTGGATGTCTTGCTCGATCTGTTTGTATGGGTTCAAGGATGCAATTACTTCAACAAGTACAGAAGCAATACCTAAAATGGCGCCAACAATTGCTCCAACTGGCCCTGCTACAGCTGCGATCGTTGTTCCAGCTGTTGCCAAAGCTGCAACTGCAAAACCTGCTAAACCAACTATACCTGACGCCATTCCAAGAGCGTTCGATGCGATTTCAACTGCGTCGTTTTCCTTTATGGCCTCAACGAGCTGCCACGCACTCACAGCTACATTTGCTGCATCAAATAACGGTCCTGCAAACACATCTGCCCATTTGGCTGCTTTTGCCCAGAGCTTCACTCCTTTCAAATCAGTGACAAGATCTGCATAAATCTGCGTGCTTTTGAATTTTGACATACCACTTGTTATATCTGTTTGAAATGCTGCTCCGATCCTCCCTTTTGCATCAAAAAGTTTTCCTTTCAACGCATCAGATGAAGACCCTGAGATTGACTCCAAAACGTTTGTCTTCATTATGTCCCTGAGATTGTCAAAGGCTTGTAGGGTGTTTCTAAAGTCGTTTCTGTACTTTAGAATGATCTTGTTAACAAGTTTATCAGCAATGGGCAGTGCTATTCCTTGACCAAAATCCCAGACAGCCAAAGTTGCTATTGCAAGGTTGAAGGTTTCCATAGCTTCTTCAACTTCTCCTCGTTTCATCTGCGAGAAGGCAACTAATGTATTTGATTGCCAATATGAATCTATGCCAGTAGCGCCATAGCCAGTGGCAGCAGCAATACTTTCCAGCTCATCAAGTTTGCCAACGGCGCGACCAAAGTTATGGCCTACTCTGGAAAGAGATTTTGAAATGCCACCGAGACTGAGTGCCTCCGAGCTGCATTGCAAGTAGATCAACGCGAATACCAATTCGGCAAGAAGCCTCATCATGAAATGAAAGCTGCTTCTGAAATTAAAGGAAGTTTTGGAAAGGATTAAGAAAACAAACACGAGTCAGCTAGCGGAAATATCTTTATAAGAAAATTATATTGTAAAATGCTCAAAATTTGATAGTGTGACCTTAAAAACATTAAAATATAGGCTAACATGTGATAGATTTCTGAACTGATAAACGTTACATCAAAATACAAGCATAATGAAATGCGTATCGTCCTACTCCGGTGTTGATTAAATCACTGTATACACAAAACAATGTTATCGCAAAGTTGATATTTAGAAAAGAGGGAATGCTACAGTTCCTGACAAGCACTTTTGATGGGCCTTACATAATTTACTTGAAAGGCAACAGCTGGAAGCAAACTTTAAGCAATATTAAGAAAATCAGTCCTAATGCTGCCTGCTAAATCTGTTTTGAAGTCTATAAAAATTGCCAACGATGCTGTTTATCTAAGCCTGTTGTAGAGATACATGCTAAAACGCAATCTGAAGAGCTACAGAAAACTGCGGAAACAATTATTTGCTATCAAACAAGACATGATATTGAGAACAAGATCTACAGGATCCGCACCTAACATGAATTGAAGGTACATAGTTGAATCTGTGTCAACAAAATTTCGTCAAGGCACAAACATTCTAGAATTTTGCCCATTGGCTCAGAAAATTAATCACAGCTGTAAGACAAGAATTAGTAACGCAACACAAATCCAGATGGTATTGTCAAATTCTCAAAACAGATTTGTAAACCATACTTCTGTTACCCTTTTGGCCAAACAGGCTCCAAGATTTGAATAGAAAATTTTGACATGAATAGAAAATTTTTAAAGGCGATTCTTCTCGAGGGTCCAAAAGATTGTTGCAACTCAAGAGAGAAGAGTATGTTTTCTAACGGCGTTATCGGATTGTTTTCAGATATGACAAAAAGAAAGTTTGCAAAACGATGATTTTTCTTTTTTTGTGAACTTTGCAACATTACACGACACAGATAAATTCAATCAGACAACATAGTTAGTGTTTTGCATATATGTAAATATAAAAAAGTCTTTGAAAATATTAAAAATTTAAAATATCTAAAATATTTGAGAGGCATTGTAGCGGAAAAATTAAACTGTGACGGTATAATGGCAAAAGATTTGATAGATTGTTTTTGTGTTCAGGTTCCAATTAGTTTTTTTTAATTGTTTAACGATTTAAACACGTACAGAAAGAATATACACACGTGAAAAGGACATGCATAGGTCATAGGCCGATTTCAATATGCCTTGTAAGGAAGGTAGCAGAAATACATTTAGGAGTAATAGATCCTCTAGCAGAAATTGTGGTTCAGTTACTGAAGGAGCTCCAGAAGAAAGATCGTAGTTGAAATGGTGTAGGCCTGTAGCTATTTCCTGGCGTAGGCCAGTGGCATTGCAGGGCCGCCGGAGCCAGGGGGGCCACGGGAGCACAAGCCCCCCCCCCTGTTTGCAAAAAGTATAAAAAGTGGCCCTTTTTGATAAATAAATTGCGTTTTTTTCAATGCCAGATATTCTTCCTTAAGAAACTAAGTAAAATAACACAACTCTGGGCGTTGTTGGAGGACCATTCACTGAATTTCCTTGAATTTTTACTTGGTCTTGACGCAAAATACTCAAGCTCCTGTGATTGAATGATATCAACTGTGAAAGAGACTGCCATTTTTGCGAGAAAATTTCCTTAGTAGTATGCCTTCAGCAACAAACTCATTAGTGAAAGTTCTGGGTCAAGTCCCCGGCGGGCACAGGCAGTTGGTGCAATGTATGACTGCAACATATTGCTTACTTCACAACATTGTGTTAGATGTTTTTATGAAGACATGAAAAGTGTCCCTGCAATGAGTACATGCTAGCAGTAAAGGGTTTTCAAACAAAGACTGAAATTTCTTATCTAGGATTAGAACAACATATAAGACTAGATGCTAAATTTATCGTACTTCTGCCCTCTTGCCATTATATATCCTAATCACTTGGATGTTTTGTGTTATTTGTATTTGAATAGTTTTTGCTTTGCCAAATTTGATTTTTTCCGAAATTCGTTGCACTCATGACATGACTGGATTCAGAAGACTTTTAGAAGGAGATGATATCCACCAAAAACCCTTCCTGGGCCTGCTACAGCTCTTTTAATATGTGTCTCAATTCGCGGTTACCCTCCTTTGTTTAAGAGGAGAGACATTCTATAGTAACATTGACTCACCTTTAGAGACGTTTGGTTTCGAGTTTCTTCTACGAGGTACTAGTACTACTTCCACTGGCTAATGTTTATTTTAGCCAAAGCATTCTGTGTACTAAGATCACCAGTCACCTGTAGAGTTAAAAACAACCAGTTCCTTAGTACACATGTTTGTTTTGTTCCATGTCACTGCCAGACCTTGCTTTGGTTCATTTCATCATATTCAATCGAGCATATCGCTCAGCGTGATTACCGATGTCATATTTCCGTCCAAATGCATACATCTAATTGTGATATTTTTGTAAAAGGACAGCTACCATAACACAACCATACTTTTTACTATCAAGTACCTACCAATCCACTCCTCAGTCCTTATATCTATCCATTCTATCCATTCGCCAATCCATCTACCTATCCATCGATTCATCTATCCTTCAATCCATTAATCCATCCATAACCCATCCATTAATCCATCCATCCATCTATCCATCAATCCCTCTATCCATCTATCAATCCCTTGAGTTGAAATGTTTTTGGGAGTTACTCTCTAAGCAAAATTAAAGGTATCTCTAAAATTCATCACTTCAGTAAACTACTCCAATGGCCTGCATTCAATCAAACCACCAATCCATCATTCTTTAGTCAGTTGATAAATTATGTGGAACGTGAAGTACAGAGAATATGGGTCTTGTGAACAAACCTTCAGAAAATTTCTTAGAGACATCTTTAGTACTGCTTAGAAGGTTTTCCCAAAAACATTTTTGATATTACCGTCAAGACTCGAAGAATATAGGATTCTTCTTTGAAAGTCTAAAGTAAGACGCTGCTGAAATAGAGGCAAGGCATTGAGTTAAAATGAAAGACAAAGCTTTTATCTGATCATGGCTTAGTCGATACAAGCTCACACGTTGTTACTGTTTTAAACCTTTATACTTCATCGCTAGTCTTCAATAAATTCTGAAAACTAGGAATGCATGCTGCTTAAGGTAAGAAATGTTTCAATGTTCCATGGTGTTTGCCCTGAGGAAATAAAACCGAATTTCCTGCTCAAGAGCTGGTATTCTTGTGAGTTTATCTAGAGGTGCTCATTCAAGTGCATAATACGTTTCACTCAAATCTCTAAAATATTTTAATGGTACTTTTAAAAGAAGCAAAGTGGAGCCAATCAAGAGAAATATTCCTCATGATTCATTCGAAAACATTTAACACAAACCTGAAATTAAATTCAACGTTTTGATATGAGTGATATTCAAAATTTCTGCCAATAGGTTTATCAAATTATGCAAAAACATTCAAATTAAATACCTCAGAGTTTAAAGAGCTGACGTAATAAATTTATTGTTCTGGTTAATGCACTTTTGAGGTCGTTGCTATTTTAAATCATTCTAAATAAAAATTGGTTTCTCAGAAAGCAACTAGAATGGTTTTTTATGGACCGACTTAAAAACAGATTAAGTTTTTAATTGAAGTATTATATGAGCATTTTCCCTAATCTAATACCTACCCAAGGCTGTTAATGATAATAACATATTTATCTGAAAATTTTTTTAAACATTTGTCGCCAGCTATATGTTGATAGGTTGATAGGTAGAGTTCTTAGCAATTAGAATCTGGTATTCTTCAAAACGTATTAATCTTATAATAGTGTTATAGCATATCGCGTTACAAAAGAAAATATTCTAAAACCGTAAAATATTCTAAAATATTCTAAAATATTCTAAAATATTCGCGTTACATTGTATAATATTCTAAAGCCCATTAAACTACATCTAAATGACATTTAAAGCAATTATGTTGTACTAGATTTTCAGAGGAGATACTCCATAAACATTTTATTTGACATTTTATTTTTATTTTAATTTGCATAAACTAAAAATTTTAAGGAGAATCATCAGTCTATAAACTTATCAAGAAGAGAGCACATACTTTGTGAAAACATATTTGAATTTTTATTCTAAAACGCTGGTATTTTCAAGAAAATCAATTAAATTCCAGTTTATGACTTAAACCGAAGGATATAATGGTATGCAAATAAAAGTTTTGTTACAGCAACATTTTCTCAGAAAATTTGATGTTTTCTTTTGTTTCTTATTTTGCCCTTATTTACTATACCAGTGGATGTTGTTTTAAGGCCTTGCACGGGTATATTTTACTTATCTTGCAATGCATTTTGCAGTTTTATGAAATATCCTCATCGATAACCTTCATTGCATTATCATAAGAATATCTAACAAACTTTGCAGTCTTTATCACCCCGAGTAGTCTATAAATCGCCACTAGACAGTCCATTTCTCTGATTTGCTTGGTTTATTAATGCATTGACCTATATGAATACTGTTTCTAGCTAGTTCATTTTGGTACAAAATTGTTAGGGTGTAAATTTTCATCTCCCGTTGATATCTCTTACATAGAAAGTACTGCATTGTCTATACAAAGCTTTCATTTCAAAACGCCGATTCTTAAAGTTTAGAATAAACTAAATCAAAATCAATCCCAATGCCTGGTATGTCAAAAAAATCTATTTGGTTAATGGCACCATTAGAGGTGTTAAGAACCTTAAAGTTAAATGCATTATGTACTTAACAAAACATAACACAACACATAAACACATACTACTCTTGCCACGTCTAAAAACAAATAAACATGTTGTTAGAAGAAACAGATTGTTTTCTAGCTCCTTAAAATCAAGCATTTAAAAAGGTGGAGGACAAAGTGAAACTCCTACTTTCCAACAAAGACGGTTAAAGCCACATGGTATGTAAGGTAAACACAATTTTCTGTGATTATATCCATTTCCTTTTTATCCATAATATCCATCAACTCTTTTTGTTGATACTAATATTGTGCCTATTTAAATGTAAAGCATAGAGTTTCATTCATATTAAACAGGCATGAGCTTTATTTTTTTCCATTTGCATTAAATTTCAAGACAAGCTTTCTGGTGTTCATATAGTTTGACATATCTCCTGATTTATTTCTATTTTACAGCAAAAACGCTTTGGTAATATCAATTTATACATTTCATTATGTTAATAAACAGGAATTGTGGGCCCGATGCTATAAGCATCTCACTAAACGTACTTATTTGAGCTTCGTTAAGCAAGATCCTTGTTCTAACATTATAAAAGGGTTGAGATGCATGGCCATTTTTCATCACATGCAGTTTTCAGCATGTAATCAAATTTAGCTGAAAAATTATTTCGCACGCGAACAAGATTGAGCTTATGACAGAAAAATATTAATTATTGATTATGCAGCTACGGCTGTACCTGACTGGGTTAAAAGATTGTGACATCTTCCGTTTTTTATGAGTTGTTTAGTAAAATCTTCAGTTTGTCGGCAAAAATTGTAAGCAACATTGAACATTGAATATGGAACAATTCTCTTGTAAAAGTGGCTTTGAAAAAAGCAAACATTTTAGAACACACTTAGCTTTTCGTCTGACAGTCTTCAGAGTATAAAGCGTCAGAACATAGAGCAAAACACTACGCTTAGAAATATATATACCCAGTTGTGGATCGAAATAGGCCAATCAGAAATGGGAGCACGTGACTGTTGAGGTTGCCCAATTAGTGTCGCTTGCCTATTGAAAATGTTACCAATGGAGTCCTAAGGTGAAAACGAACTCCTTCTCTCTACAAAATAGCGGATTTTCGTGCTTATGTAGATAGATTCCAAAATTGCTAGATGGAACGACGATCGGGCTTCGCCAATAATCCGAAACATGTCACCATTATAGTTTTCAGCACAATCTGGGTATTCCAGTAAATGCTGTCTATGTATGAATATGTATCGATACAGTAAAAACATTTCCATGGGTAAAATCATTATTTCTATTGGTAAACAACATTGCCTGATGGCAGATGAAATATGAACAAAACTGTGTTAATTAATTTCTGACGTAATTGATACATATCGCATTACTTGATTACTTAACTACTGTATAAGTAAGTTGCTCCTTTTCTTGATCCTCCATTCTTTTTCAAAAATTTGAAAATTTCAAGTAAGCAAATTTCTACTTAGTATGTTTTGAAATGGTAACATTGGTATCAAAAACTCAAGTTATGTAACAGCAATTATTTCTTCGCTATTTTCATATCAAAATTTCCAGCTTACTGTAAGGAACACGTTGCTTGAAATCTACTGTTACATGAAACCCCGCGCTCTGAGTCTATGCATGAAATTTTTCTGTCAGCAGACATGAGGATCTGTGAACAATATCTCAAGGATATTCACCACTATCTGTAAGATTAGAAAGTCACTCCAACTAGTGATGTTAAGAGGTTTCTGGACTTTCTACCAGCTCTCTCTTTTTACCCTTAACAATGTTTCGATCCGATACAAAGAGAGAGAGGACACAAGGCCCGCACCATGGCCCCCTACTTTTTTTGCTCCCTATAGACATTAAATACCCCTTTTAGGTATTAAATAGGTAACCCCCCTTTTTGGCCCCCTACTTTAGAAACGGTGGCGCGGGCCCTGGAAGACGTATCATAATACGTACCATTTCTGAAGGAACTACATCAAAATCGAAAAATTTCAGACTGAAAAGTTTCGGCAATACAACATTGGAAAAAAACCAAGCGAGAGTGCTTGCTTCGCCCAACAAATGCAAAGTGTTTCTGTATACAGGGTCCGCGCCACGAATAGGGGGGGCAAGGCTAGAAAGAGTAGGGGGCCAAGGCTTCTTATCCCTTTTACTGCAGCTCTAAAACTACTATCTTCGCAAAAAAGTGGGGGGCCATGGCCACACCAGCCCCCCTTGTGGCGCGGGCCGTGATATAATGGGCTGCTCTGTTTGTCAAGTAAATGCCGAAAAAGTATCATTTCAAACAACTCTTGTACAGCTCCGAGGCTATTAGTCGAAAATTATTTTTTGATTTTAATTTTAATTTCATTCTAACTCGAGCACTCAAACAAGCAGAAATTTCCTTGAGTGTTGCTAAGAGCGACGTAATTTTCTGAGAATATGGAAGAAGCTCTCATTTCAAAACATATTGAATAAAGTTCTTACGAGATTTTTTTCGAAAGATTTGTAGCATATAAAAGACCACATGAACTTGATGATGCTATCGAAAAAAAAAAAGAAAATGAGCTACGTTAGGAGCAATCAAAGGAATTGTTTCAAGAACCTTCGAATGCAGTCAGCATTGAGAAGCATGCAGACAGTAGTTGAAAATTAACATTCCTCATAAAATCCAAGACTGGCGAAGCGCGATTTTCTTACAATCTAAATACACCCGCTGCCTATTTTTATAAAGGAAACATACTACAGTTTGACAATTATTGAGGGGGCTCCAGTCCCCCCCAGCCCCCCCCCCCGGTTCCGACGGGCCTGATTTCAATCAATTGCAAATATTTTCTTTAAAACATGTTTGAAAACTAAGGGGATGTAAACCCCTTGGATTTCGCTTGTCTACATTTTTCAGCATAATATC